TCTGCAATGCACCAGCAGCTTGCAGCCTTTGTACTCTAATTTCTGCCCCAACACACCACCCCCTGCCTTGATTTAGCCACCACAGTCAACCACCACCCCCACCACCAACCCCTACCATCGACCACCACCTTCCGCCACTTTCGACCACCCTTATGCACTTCAAAACAGTCCAACTACCCCCAACAACACTTCAACCACCTCCACCACCAGCCCCAACCTTTCCACCACCGTCGACCACCACCCACCACAACCAACATCACTAAACCACCATGAAGCACCACATTAGCCACCACGGCCATCGCTTCTACCCCGTTTCTAATTATGGATCCCAAATGTTTTCTTTTTGATACAAATCGGCCTAGAAGGATCTATTTTGACTGACATAAGTCCAGTTTGGATAAATAAGGAAACTAAACATCAAACCACGCACATATTTATTCAACAAACATGTATTATATTAATAATGTAATCGTTATATACAACATTCTAGAAAATGTTTGTCTACAACAAATAAATCATACGATACTATCCCTACTCATCAATTCGGGATAAAGGTTCCCTAGCCTGACTGTCGTCTGTCCGTCTACGACGCCGAGTGTAATGAGAAATGGTGGTGAATGGGTCTCGGGGCGGTGGGGGAGTGAGCTGGCTGGACGATGTGTCGTCTTGAGTCCCGGTGGGCGCAGTAGTGTGGATGATGTACTCCTCTGCGTCTGTGGGTATCGTATGATCACCTCCACCGCTACTCTGGCCGGGGTCGAACTGTGAATGGAAGGAGGATCCACTATCTTGACCGTCCCGCTGGTGGACGAGATAACTGTGACCATGTCTCTATAAGGAAGTCACTGACATATCTCGCATTCGCTCAACCTGGGCTCTGGTGGGTCCGTCTGCAAGGGCGAGTGACAGTGCATCAAACATCGACACCATATCCGCCGCCTGCAGTAATCATCGATCAGTTAGTTACATGATATATAAAAAAAATAAAAAATGAGGACGATAAGTACAATAAAAGAAACTCACATATCCGTGAATGACGTCATGTGCTGGCTGGTAATGTGTGGACGGTGGTGTGTAGCTGGGGTAGATGAAACGGCGTGTAATACGCCTGTACCACACCATGTACGGATCGTGAGGATCCATAACGCCCTGCATCGGATCACCGCCAACGACGAACTCCAGCCGTTGCTACCATAGCTCAAGGAAACGCCAATGCTCCAATGCCCAGTTCGTCTCCCCCTTTCCCCGACGGTCAATGCCGTGAAGGCGTACACTAGTGTCACAATGCTGGGGAATAGGCTGGCGTAGTCGGAACTGTCGCATGACGCGGTCGGGTAGGTGACTCTCCACGACCTCGAAACAAATCAGGGGGACTCTGGCACGCCACTCTGCCTGATGATCCAGTAGATGTGCAGGCATGGCATCTACCAACTCCGGTACATACGGATCCCAGGTGATCTGCAATAACACATCAAAATAAATATTATAATTAAGTTAGTCCACATACGGTATACAATGTTTATAATTGTTTACAAATATCTAAAAAGGTTCCACCTGCTGCTCAGTGAGTCGATCAAGGGTGTCTCGGTAGTACGGAAGACCTGTCGCCGCATGCGCCTGTGTGAGTCTGGGGACCACCCACCTATGGCAACAAAGTTATTTTGTTTGTTAGCAAAATGAAACCGTATGAAGGCAAAAAAGACTGACAAATGTTACAAACCTGCAACCGTATGCCTCATCAGCTGCAGGGAGCGGTGGAGCGATGTACGGCTCATACTGGTCATCCCAGTCCTGCTGCCCTCGACGATGTACAGCAGGCCTACCTGGTCTTCCTACGTGGATGTGCTCCCAAGCCCATAACTGCAATACCAAAATACAAAACTATGTTAAGTATGACGTTAGTCATTGCCTAAATAGCTTGTGAAAAACTAGGTTGGTTACCTGAAGCACGATCAGAGGTCCACAGATCTCGACTGCACCACTCCGTGAGGCTCTACACAGGTGGCGATACAACATCGCCAAACAGGCACTACCCCAGTTGTATCCACGGATATGATCCCAGTCGTGGTCTAACAGCTGTAGGTAAATAAGCTGCATATGGCTCCCGCTCTTGTTCCCGAACAACACGCCGGATATGAGCAGGAACAGGTATGCTCGAGCGTATCTCTTAACTGTGACGTCATCAGCGTCCGCAGGCATGGCACGGAAAGTATCTCGTAACCAGCCGGTCCTCAACCCGGATCCCCTAATATCGTCGGGACCCGGCTGCACCCCGAGAACCCAGACTACCAAACCAACGGATCGACTATCGCAGATCGTGTCACCACAGTCCCATGCACAGGAAGGCGCGTCAGTATCGTGACGTCCCGCAATGTAACGGTGGCCTCCCCAACTGGTAGATGGAAGGAGTGCGTCTCCTGCCTCCATCTCTCCACTAGCACAGTGACAAGCTGTCGGTCGATCTCCCTGAACGCCACCCGATGAATACCGCCAAAGCCAGCGTACTCGACGTATGCAAGACATCGTTCATCGACAACCCAGCCGCCCAGAGCCCGGGTAGTGTAGTGCCTGCAAATCAGCGCCTTCGCTACGTCACCCTGAAAAAGCATGATCCGTTTGTAATTAATATTAGATAGTACATCAATATAATGAATCCAGAAAAGTAACAGATGAAATATTACCGTCTGGTTCCATACGTCGACGCTCCGATGTGTGTCCTGCAGAGTCAGGACAGAAGGGTCAACGGGTCCGGGTGTCCTATCCTGTCCGTGCATGGTGTCTGTTCATCGAAAACGTTACATACAAAACACCAACAGAATAACTGGAATAGCACTTGGAAGGACGCGGTGTTGTAATCAGAGACATATGTAGCTTGCTGGAATAACCAAAACACATATTACGATAATTGAAATCTAGAGCGAGGTAAAAAAAGTTGCCCACAAACTAAGCATTAACTCCATTTATAAACTCTTAGTTTAGGTTGCAATGCAAAACGATTACTAACAAACTAATATTTTAAACAATAAACTAATATGAAATGGTAGATAAATTATCAATAATGAAATAACCGTCTTCTCACCAATAATCTATAATTATCAACAATTATATTTCACATATTACCATCAATAATTTCAACTATTTCACATATATGTACCACATTACCATCAACAATTTCATGAACAATTTCATCAACAATGTACCACATTACCATAAAAAATTATCAACAATTTACAACATTTTCATTAATTATTAGCAACAATTTGATACAATTTGAACAATTAAGAGGGGCAGTAATTATCAACATTACACTAGTTTGAACAAAGCAGCAATTTGAACAATTCAACAATTATCAACATTACACTAGTTTGAATTTAGGGTTTACCACGAAATTGAGTGGAGAGGGGCAGCAACAACACAGTGGTGGCGGCAGCAGCAGCAGTGGTGGCAGCCCGGTGGTTGACTGTGGTGGCGGCAGCGAGATAGAGTGAGAGTGAGAGTTTGAGGGATGAGAAGTGAACTAGCCTGCGAAACACGAATATAACAACCATAAAAACGCTGACTGAGGCAGCGTTTCATTTAAAGATAAAAAACACTATAAATGCTGTCTCAGGCAGCGTTTTTAGTATAGGTGTATTTTTTTTTCACTTTATTAAAAACTCAGAATTTAAGAAATTTTTTTAAAAAAGTCAACAACTAAAAACGCTGTCTCAGACAGCGTTTTTAAGTTGAATTTTTTTTTTTAAAAAAAAACCAGGCATAAAACGTTGTCCGAGACAGCGTTTTAGCCTAGAAGCTTAGTTTCGTAAATACTTTTGCCACGCAACCATTTTGGTTAATATTTAGCAAAAATGGCTTAGTTTGGGAAAACGACGTGGAATATGGATATAAGAAGTCTCCTGTTGCATTCACATTTCAAGCCCTACGGATTCTCGTATGAGGAGGTGTGATAAAGTATATGAGTCTCATCTTTTTTTTTTTTGTATATAAATCTCATCTTGGGCTCTCATTCTCCACCAATACATTTTTTTTAATTTTTCTCTCCTCATGGTTCTCACTTATACAAATTTTACTATTAATGTCACTAACACACTTCTTTAACCATGAATATAATTTAGGAAAAAAATAATAAAGAATAATACGGTTTCTGACCGATTTTTCAAAAATAAAATAACCTTATAATTATTACTAAATAAAACGACCTTTGACGTATATCTGCTCAAAGTAGAGACCCTTTTCAAAATAAAACATTGAGCATTATTGAGATATTATTTCCCTAAGTTTGTAGAGGACCTTTTGTGCACTCATCGTTTGTAAATGTATCAATGTTCGTTGTACAGGTGACACATGTATTAGCTCATTTAAATTGAATTAAATTGGGTCATTTTAGGTTTAGTGACCTGTGATTTGATATTTACTGGTTGAAATTGTACTCGTCCCTAAGAAAATAATTGAGATTAATGAAAATGGAAAAAAAAAACAAAAATAAAAATAAAGGTATGTATATTTAATATCTGGATATAATCTCCAACGTGATAGCAATCTTTATGTTAGCCTGTTTGGTAGCATGTAAAACATTATGAGAAGTAACCACTTTTAATTTTTTATTTACTTAAAAACTTATATCTAGTTATTGTAATCTTATAAATAATTTCAAACATATGTTTGCTTTTCTAATCTCATTGGACAACTTAAGGTTTGAAATTTAGTCCTAAAAATTAAAGTCAAATCTAATAGCATCAAATTAAATCGAAGTTGATTTTCAAGGTTTTTACCTACTTATTTGTTTTTATCAAATTTAATTCTATATAACTAATCCATTTTGGATTATACAGAAATCGGATAAAATTAGACCGTCCAATTCAAGCACTCCATATTTCACTCTAAAATCCATATGTTTGAGCATTCAACAGTAACAAAGAAAGTAAGCTACAAAAATTCGGAGAGAAGCGAGTTTCCAAATCATGTGCTCAGCTCAAATAACTCCTGTGAACAAATGAAAGGAAGGAATACAAGCAGATTCATCTTTTCATTATCAACAGTCAAAAGAATTGTGAAGTTCATGTACAAAACAAATATGCAGAACTGTCGGACAACTAGTACAATCCAGACATCCAACGCGTTCCATTTTACTAAACAAAAATGAACTTGACCTAAGATTTCCTGTTGCTCTGTAGCATTCTGGCATATGATTAAAGAACTTCATCCTAGCAGTTTGTAAGCATAAGACTAAGTGAAATAGAACCTATTATGTTAGTATACTTAAATTAAATGTCCAAATCGATCCTACTTTTACTGTGCTAACAAGACTATACAAAGCAAACATGATTCTCCTGCGCATTGATCTTGAGGTGAAATCAGCACCTCCTATCCAGGTACTCCAACATATCGAAGCATATATGAAAGACAAAATGATATGCTTAAATTAATAATTTCTGAGAAGAATTCCCTGTCCAAAATAGTAGAGCTACTTCATACGAAAGTCGTGCCTGAAAACAGTCAAGTTCTGGGTAAACTTGTCCCTGTTTTTTGAATCTAAACTTCGGGATACATCTGCCATTAATTTGTCAAAACAAAGCACAAGGCGCTGCTGTTGTTCCACTGGCTGCAAGTATCAAGAGGTTAAATCGGTTAAGTGAATGTAACATGCTTTGTATAAGAAGTTGGGTATTAAATAATGACCTACAATCTTCAAAAGTCACCTTATAATGCAAGTTATGTAATAATAGTAATAGACCACAAACTATGCATTAAAAAAAAAAAAAAAAAAAAAAAAAAAAAAAAAAAAAAAAACAAACCCTTCATGCATTGAAAAGAAGATCAACTGTTCATGGGAACAAAGTTTGGGAAAATTAAAGCAACTATGACTTATTTGAATGAAAAATTAAGAGACATAAACTAAAGCTGTTTCTTGTAAGCTGAGTGCACCATAAGTCTATTGCTAAGAATTGCAGAAAGACAATATCGAAAATATACCTGTGAGGTCAGTATTTGAGTTTTCAAATCCGTAAATATCTGCAAAGTCAATTAGGATAACAGGTTAGTTAAATAATAATTTGTTCCCCTTTCCTGGTGAGGAAGGAGATAGATGATCTACTTCATGTCTATGTTGGATCTTTTTCCTACATTAAACCCCGTCCTGGGTTAGAATCAAACTTCATTTGACAAGATAAAAAAATGTGAATGGCAGGAAAAGGAGCATCCAAGAAAAAAGAAAAGATATAAAACCAGGATAATAGTGCAACAGTATTATACGAAGTATAAGACAAACTAGCGATGATTTACTAAAGACCAGGTGACCAGACTTTTTCTTGAAATAACTTTTAATTTTTACACCTATTTACTTTTAAGTTTCCCTAACCTAGACTTGTTGATAATAAAGTTCCAGCCCAGTCAAATAACAAGTCAACTAGAAAAAGGAAGGGGCAGTGCAGAGGGAAGAATACTAGTTTTCAAAGATGAGCATCCGATTTCTAAAACCTCCATCTTTAAGCTGATCTGATATATCACATTACAGTAAAACACACTTCTGTAGAATATTTCCTTGAGTATTTAACCTCTAAATCCCTACCTTCATTCAACAATGCTCCAAAATATACTTAACAATAACAATAGCTGCTTGCTTCACAACTCTGAAGATCCAATACATAAACATAAACTCAAATACTTAATAATACGAATGGCTGTGTGTCTCACAACTTTGAAGGTCCAATACATAAGCATATGCAGGGATGAGCATAATGTGGCGCGATACGAGGATACCATTAGTATCAACTCTTTCTATTTAGCATACATACTTGGTTCTCAACTTCTCCCACCACCTCGACACCTAGTTCTATTGAGTAGATTTCCATTAGAATTTCTATTAATGTTGACAATAAAGTATTGACATGGCTTTTTGACATACATCATATTTCGCTAAGTAATCTCCTATAGCCTATTCTTTTTTGTTCGCCCGTCCCTTGTATATTCCCCTCTAATTTCTATTCTTTCTTTTTTTTTTTTTTTTAAATTCAAGTTCAAATGTTACATCCTTAGTAGGGAAAGAACATCGATGGATTAAAAATAAGGAAAGGATCAATCTATAAATTATTTTTCATTAGCTAATATTTCACTTGTATGTTGCTTTCTTACCTCTAAATTTGTTTGTAAAACCCATAAAAGTAGGAAGAGTTCAGCATAGGGATGGCAACTCAATCCGAGTTTGATTCGAATCCGACTCGATCGAAGAAAAAAGTCCGATACGAATTCGCTTAAAAATAGTCCGAATCCGAGTCCGACTAAATAGATTCGAATCCAAATAGGAGGCGGATCGGACTTTGGATCCGAATATGACTAATATGATGTAAGAAATGAAATTTATTAGAGATATTACTAGCAAATGTTAGTATATCTCAAAAACGGAGCGGAATGTATCGGATGTGTGAATAAACAGACCGGATTTGGAGGCGAAAAAATACAAGTCGGATCGGGCTCAGATCAAGCGGATTCGGATTCATGATCCATTTATTAAGCAATTTAGCCACATCCGACCAGAATCCGATCCGTTGTCATTCCTAGTTGGGTATAGGTTAGGCTAACACAAGGGTTAGTTAGGCACGAAACAAAATGGATATGACGACACAACATAACAAGGGCCATTCTTGTACATCATTCATAATATTCAAGTCTGATTTTGAACAAATTGGATAGGAAAGAACTTTTAAGATAATATATAAGTTTTAAATCATATAAAAAAATCACAATGCTCTAAAAAGTTTGTGAAATCCTTACAAAAAAAATCCAAATTTAAGAAAACGTTTAATGCATGGCATCAATATTAATTAAACTTTACATGGATAATTTATTCGAAAATCAAAATTTTGCAAAAGAAGGTCAAATTTTCTCCAATTAACTTTTAATCCAAAATGAATTAGTTACTCCCACTGAATTGTAATAATTGCAACATTAGGGAAGGCACAAATGTTTAGGAGACTTATAGGGTGGGGACCAAAGGGGGGAATGTTATTATATAAAGTATAGTTAGTGGGGATAGTTAATTGTAAATAGGAGAGAGAACTAATAAAAAAGAAGGGTAAGTAGGGTTACTAGAAGAGACAATAATAAAATATTTGTGGGTCCTTACCAAATGAATAAGTGTTGCAATTATTATGAAATGGATGAAAAAGAAATTATTACGATTATTACGAAATGCAGGAAGTGTTTAAATGGACTATAATTAAAGTTTATCCAAATAACATTCACTGGAAATTCATTTATTTTTGGCAATTATGCTACTGGAATTTGACCTCACCTTTTAAAACCTGAATTTGTCTTAAAAATATTAGTTAAGTAAATTTTTTGATTAAAATTAGAATTTAAATAATTGAACATAAATTTAAGTAAATAAAATAAAATGTAGTTTTCATAATGCTTGATATACTACTAAAATAAAGATCACCATCACGTTGGAGATTGTTTCCAAACATTAATTATACATGATTTATTTTTTATAAACCTCAATTATTTTTAAAAAGGAAATTAATTAGAATAAGTGGTGAGTGTATATAAAAATTTCACATATCAAATCGTGAATCACTAAACCCAACTCGATTTTAATCAATTCAAACTACACATACATGTGTCACCTCTACAAACTTAGAGGAATGTTATTTTAATTAGCAATTTTTAATTAGATTATAATTATAATGTTGATTTCATTTTCTTGGTTTTATATATTTCAATTAGGTAATGCTACCTAAGTACCCATGTCGAATATGATTACTTAGCGAGTACCCACGTAGCATGAGATAGGCTAACACAAGGGCTAGTTAGGCACACCATGAAAATAATCCGATATGACGACATAGTGTGGGACATGGATCAAGCCTACGCATCATTTAAAAGAATCAAATCCGGTTTTAGCCAAAATAGTTAGAAAAGAAATTTTAAGTCTACATATAAGTTTAAATACATATAAAGAATCACAATGCTCAAAATGATTCATGAGATAAATATTTTTAAAAAAATTAATTTAAAACAAAAATTAACAAATAACATTAATGTCTTACCACACTTTACATAGATTAATCTGAAAATAAATTTTTTGAAAAAGAAGGTTCAATTTTACCCGATTTTTTAAAAATCCAAATTGAATTAGTTGTGTAATTTGGACTGAAATTTAATGGGATTCGACTAACATTCACTCCTAGCAAGAGACAAATAAATTAGGTATAACATTGAAATTCGATTCCGATTTAATTTGATGTTTAAAGCCTCCAACATTCATTTTGAACATTGATGCTACTAAAATTTTACTTAATTTTTACAACCAAATTCCTAACCTAAATTTGTACAAAAATTATTGGAATTTTTTTTTGTTTTAAAATTAATTTTTATTAAATGCTTAAAATTAAGTTATAATTAAACCTAAATTATTAAGTAAATAATTAAAAAGCAGTTTTCATAAAGCTAAATATCCTACCTAAATTAAACATTGCTATCACTTTGAAAATTATTTTCAAACATTAATAATATCTACATGATTTCTTACTAATTAACCTCAATTATTATGATCAATTATTTTTAGAAAAGAAAAATAATTGAGAAAAGTGATGATTGTACAGAAAGATTCACAAATATCAAATCATGAGTCACCAAACCAAAAATGACCCATTTTAATTCAATTCGAATGGCCATACATGTGTCACCTATACAAACTTGGCAAAATGATAAACATATTAGTAGTTTTAATTTAAATTATAACGTTTAAGTATGTTTTCCTAATATTATATAATTCAATTGGCTAATCTATTTGTACACTCACCATTTGTCCTAATTATTTTTCTTTCTAAAAATAATTTGTCATAATAATTGAAGATAATAAGAAAGAAATCATGTACATATAATTAATACTTAAAAAATAACCTCAAACATGATAGCGATTAGTATTTTAGGTAGTATATCAACATTCTAAAAACTGCTTTAAATTATTTACGTAAAAATTAATGTTTAAATATTTAAAAGGTAATTTTAATCATATAACTAAAACTTAATTTTAATCATAAATTTTCTTTTTTATTATTTATTTGAATAAATTTAGGTTTGTCCAAAATTAAGATTAAATTCTAATAGCACCAATGGCATGCTAAAAATGAGTGTTGGATACTTGGATGCTTTAAAATTCAATCGAAATTGATTTTCAACGTTTCGACCTAATTTACTCATTTGTTGCTAAAGAACCTTCTATGAAGGAATGAATGTTACGAGGTTCAAATTTAATTCCATTCCAATTTAAATAATTAATTCAATTTGTATTATAAATTAATTAGATAAAATTGGCCTATTTTAGCAAAATTTTGCGTTTCGGAAAAAAGGGTATTTGGATAATATTTTTTTTTTATAATTACATGGATAATAAATCCATGTACAGTATAGTAAAACGTTAAGGTTATTCTTTAACACAAACTTTCATATGTGGCCGGCCACAATTTTCTCTTTTTTTTTTTTTTTATTTTACACCACAACTGCCAACCCTCCTCTCTTCTCTCTCTTTCTCTCTCCTCTTTTCTTCTTCTCGAAGCCAGCCAACATCAAATGCTCCACCCATTTTATCTCTCCTCTTTGCCAAATCGAGCCCACCAGTATCGCAATCCAGCCACTCACAGCCACAATTGACCCACCAGTATGGCAATCGAAGACTTATTGTGTACCACCGCTGCTACTTTCTCGTTTGAAATTCGTTGGGGTTTCTGAGTTCCAAATCGAACAACTCTCGAAGAATGAAGAGGAAGAACAGAAAGTTCGAGAAGACGATTTGTTGAGGTCCAGTGATGCCGTATCCACCATCATCAACGGCGAAATCAATCTCTGACGTTTCATTTTTCGCAATGTCAAATTTTTTTTTTTCATTTTTTGCCCTCAATTTAAGTTAATTTGTAAATTCAATCGAATTAAGTTAATTTTTTTTAGGGAGATTTAAGTTAATATTTGGTTAATGATGTTTAAACGACAGCTTTCTCGACACATTGTATAACAACATACAGGGCGGTCAGTAGGGGTTACTTGGTCATGGGTTACTAGGTCGGTCAGGGGTTACTTGGTCGATCAGGGGTTACTAGGTCCATCGGGAGGGTTACTACGTCGGTCAGATGTTACTTGGTCAAGGGTTACTTGTGTGTTAGCTGGCCACACCATGTGGCCAACCACACACAAAACCTGCTGATCCCTTAAATGTTTATTAAGATTCTTTTAATTTTTTTTTTTTTTTTTTTTTTTTTTTTCAAAGATATTTATCTCACAATGTTTTTTTTAGCATTGTGATTTTTTGTGGGATTCAAAACTTATATATAATCTTAAAAACAAACCTGAGTACTTTGAATGATGTCATGGGCTCATGGCACAACCCATGTCCCACCTGGACATTGTAAATTTGTAATGCTACCCATATCGAGTATGATTATGCTACCCATGTCGTGATATGTGGATACCATAAGAACCAACTATTAAGACCAGTCAAACATGCAGTATATAAAATATTACCTCTTTCGATACGCTGACATACCAAAAATAGGACACCGTAGGAAAGAAGATGCTAGTGAAGAGTTCTGCAAATCAGAACAATAAGACTACAAGGCAAAAGACCTGACAAGTGACCTTTGCCACCTAGGGCTGTTCAGATTTAACGTTTCAATTTTATTTATTATCCTTGATCCACAAGAAACCTTAACAAGGAACTTACCTTTGCAAATCTAATTAAATTTCCTACATGATATTAATGGCATTTATGTGTTATTAACTTTTCTGTTTCGTGTCCCAAACTTAATTAAATATAATTGGTTCTCAACTTCTCCCACCACCTCGACACCCAGTTTTATTTAGTAGCCTTTCGTAGAATTCCCATTAATGTTGACCATAAAGTATTGACATGGCTTTTTGACATATTTCATTATTTGTTAAGTATACTACTGTGGCCTAGTTTTCTTTGCTCGCCCAATTCATTTAAATTCCCTTCTAATTTCTTTTCTTTCTTTGAATTATTTTTCTTTAGCTAATATTTCACTTTACGTAAATTGCTTTCTTACCTCTAATAAAACTATTTGTAAAATCCATATTACCAAAGAAAACTATAATAGCACATTGCATGTCACACAAATCTACTTTATTACAAGGATGAATTAAAGGTGAGAGAATATGGCCAAGATACAAGCTAAGATAGCTAAGCAATCACTTCGTAGTAAAGGATGTGGTACAAGTAGACTACATTCAAGAGGTTGCCTTGAAAGCAAAAGATCCATTAAAGAAAGCAAAATCTATAAAGAAACAGATGATATCCTCCAAAAAGGGAGTTGAGATGGGTCAAAGACTGTAAAATAGAGCATCTCACTTAATAGGTTGGAGAGCACTCCTAGCTAGACCTCTTTTAGACATGCTATTTTTAATGTAAGTGTTAACATATTGAAAGAATCAAACGATTTAATGACAATCATGGTAGTGTCTGCTATAAAGTCAAAAGGTGGAACAAAAACCATATAAGCTCCAGCACGAAACCAAGATTTAGGTTCACATGAGAACTATTCTTATGGTGAGAAACACATAAAGTACGAGTAAATACAAACTCATCACCGAGATATACAATTATTGCTTGTCACATGGCATTTTTGTAAATAAATCAATAGTGATGATGATTGGATAGAGTTGTTGATTTATTTACCAAAATGCCATGTGATAAGCAATTTTTTTTTATCCCGGTGATTAACTAGGGCTTCCTCATAAAGTACATGTAATAAAATTAAAGAGTGCATCAAAAAAATTTGTATAAATGTATTTTTTTTTTTTTTAGTTGTTTATTTATGTTTTTTTTTTTTTTTTTTTGGTGCTTAAAGTGATGTACCTTTTATCTTTCAAACATGTATCATATAGCTATATGACACGTACCTTAAATATTCATTTTGAATTTATTTTTAAGAAAAATTCATCTTTTTTTTTTTAACTTAAGAGTGATGTACCTTATTACTTTATAACATGTACTTTTTATCTTATAGATATATTACACATACCTTAAAATTTTGGAAAAAAATAAAATAAAATTAATAAGCATCCTCACAAAATGCTAGGTTTACTAAAAAGCAGGGGAAATATCAAATGTCTTGATTTCTGCACAATGGCATCATATTAAGCATCACTGCATCTTTATTGAAAACTAAAAACAAAAAAAATTGCATCACAAAGCTACTTTTAGCCAGATACTATGTACTATCAACAGCATGAAATCAGTCTAATTCATACAGTGTTATCCCAGGCATGCATAGTTTTTTCCGTAATGATACAAACACAAAGCTACTTATACTCTGTGTTGGCCGAACAAAAGAAGCGTATAGATTAAAAAGCTAGTACCTGCTCGCTTATCAAAATCAGACTCAGAATAGGCCTACTCAAGCTCCATTGATTGGGACAGTCCTCAAATAAAACAAGCTCAAATAAGGTCTTCAAAATCTGTCAGAAGCAAAAGTAGATTATTACCACAATAGGACACTAAAGCCATACAAAATAAAATTATGTGCCCTCCCAGCTATTCTCTCCAACTTTAATAGAACTGAATCAATAGTGTGCAAGACTGCACACATCTTGCTACCTCATACAGATAGGTGTTTAAGTGTCATAGTCGGCTATATGTATAAGGAAAAAGAACTTATTTTAAAAACTAATAAATTAAAAAAAAAAAAATAAATCCCTCTTCACGATGATTTGAGGATATAAAATCTTACTTCTGGGAACAATGTGGGGCATTCTGCAATATGCCGTGCAAGACTGATTGTAGCTGGTGAAGAAGGTGCATCCCCCATAGTAATGTTGTTGAAATAAAAAGCTGCCAAATTATCAATTGCTGATGCGCACTGAGAAGAGCATTGATAAATGTCAAGCTAGAATATGATAATATGTGAAGAAAACAGCAATCTTTTACATTCACTCCACTTGAAATAATCTAGAGCCACACAAACATGAACTAAAAAAAAAAGCTGTATATAATTTTAAGAAATATTGGCTACTGGGATGCAGGGCAGCTGTAACGCACCTGTGTTGAGATGCCAGTATCTAAACCTTTAAGACCAGATTCAAGGGATCCCATAATGCGCATAAAAGTGCTTGTATCAAGATTCAGTACAAAAGCAATATGACTGCTAAACAAAACCTCCAGAAAGGCAAAATATGCCCTTGTTAACTGCCAACAAAGAGAAATAAACTCACATCAAACTTTTTTAAGTGTAAATACTAAATGATAAAGTGAATGCTTACTAGCATATTTAATGAGCATAGATTAAAAAAGTCCCTTCAAGATTCAACGGTTCAACCATAGTAAAAGCAATATCAGTTTCTAAATCTGAAGAAACAGCAGTCAACTATGTCCAGTAATATAGACTCTCCACTGTAAGAGAATAGAAAACACATACTTTACACATTACACTAACTCAAACTCAGAGTTTAGGCTATGTTTGATCCTATTTATTTTGTCTAAATTTGTATCATCTGATCTTATATTGTCTGCTTAAAGCTTATTATGTATGTAATTTCTTAATTGTGTGTGAAATTGTCCCGGGGGGAGGGGGGGGGGGGGAAGAGAGAGAGGAGGTAAATAAATAAATCACTGTTTCAACTTCCTGAACTGAACAGAACTAAAGTTATCTTAGTCAAAACAAGTTAAATAGAATAAGGCGTAATCTCATAACACTCAATAGTTTCATAAACTGAAATAGGAAACAACCTGGCCTGTACATCAGTTTGCATAACTTCAACTAGAAATATCATTACGCAAATGTGTCACGTTCAAAGCTAATATCTTAATACTCATAATTATTACAAAAAAGAGAACATAAAGGAGCTGCACCTCATAATCCAATTCTTATATCATGGAGCCACCAGACTGTACATCCTAGTCCCTTGCATATTTGCATTACACTGACATGTTCGTTGTATGACACCTCTATCCTTTTCAATTTAATAAAAGCACTATCACTCATCACATCCACCTTTTCTGTGCAAAATAGTCCATAACTCCTATCACATTTACATTTTAAATAAAATACCAATTCACTAACTGCCATTATATGTGTAAAAAATAATTTGGGAAAAGGGGTGTAACATACTTAAGGGAGCATGGAGTAAGATAAGGCTACTCCATCATAATAACGTCATTCTTACAAGAATTTTCAAGTTTTCAGACATAAGGCGTAAAAAGTATTTCCTCCTTTTTTTTTTACTTGGAAAACTTCTACTCCTTCCGTCCCATATATAGTTTCTGTTTTCCTATTTTAAAGAACCAAAATGTTGTTCCTATTTATATTTTTGGATAGAATGTAAAGACCATTATACCCTCATTTTTTTTAACTTTATTCATTGTACTTCTTAAATTACCCATAAATTTTCCACTTGCTTTGTATTTTTTTCCACTTTCTCTCTTTAACTTTTGCCTATAATTGTACTTTTCATCTTTTTTTTTTTATGTACTTCATTCACTTTTCCCTCACTAACTTTTGTCTATAATTGTAATTTGCACTTTTTTCATGTACTTCATCCACTTTCTCCTCCCATTTCTTAAATACCGTGAAAAAACAAAAATAAGAATTATATATTGGGACCGAGGGAGTATATTGTACACTATTCACATTCTTTACTTCAATTACATTCCGTGATTCATTTACAGAAAATATAGTCATATGGGTAAGATCTATCTTAATGTGTACTCTACTAAAATTTAATTTTTCTCCCTTCGTTTCTATATGTTAGTCCCATTTGGAATCAATCACGTAAAATAAGAAAAGAAGAATATTGGGCATCTAACATTAAAATACTATAACAGCTCATAATTAGTTATGTCATATTCAATTTTTCTGATGTTTTGGAAAGTATAAGCCATAATTGTGGCCTTTGTGGCTGAGCATGCGACTTAGCTAAGATTTTATTGCCATATCATTAATCCACTACCATCACAATTAACCAATCAAATTTAACATTTCAAAATCTTTAACTAATCAGATTTAAATAAAAATCATGAAAATTAAAATGCAACTTTTTAATTTTCCCAGTAATTTAGACTTTTTTTTTAATTTTTTTACGAGAACACCACGTTAATGTTTTTATATTTCGAAAATTAAACAAAATAATTGAATCTTCAGAAAGAAATTTGAAACAAGAACAAAAAGATAAAGACAATTTGAGCAAATATTACGAGCATTAAACATTGATCTCAATTAAATCTCAATTTGAGCAAATACACCCAGCACATCAGAACTCATGGCTAGCAAGCACCAAACGAATGGCAAATGCAGCTTAATCTCAATTCAATCTCATTCCTCATCGTATACCTCTACAATACAGAACAATCAAGACAAGGTTTACGCACAAAGACTATTAAAGTGGTAAAAAAACACAATATAGAACAATCAAGACAAGATTTAATCGAATTCGTACCAAATATACAACCTATTGAGGAGAGAGAAAAATATCAAGGAGAGAGAAAGTGAACGTTTAACAAAATTAACTGGGGGCTTCGTTGAATCTGGTGGCACTGACCCAGAAAATCGAAATTTTAAGGAGTAAAGACAGATTAGCCTTCAGATTGAAGAGAGAAAACTAGGGTTCTTCATGTACAGTGGATAATGATGGGAAGTTAAAGAAGAGAGAAGGGAAGAATCTGGATGTTTGAGAAGTTAAATGTATCAGTAAAAAAAACAAAATAATGTGGTGAAAAATCATTGACTAGAGTTATTAAGCGTGGAAATTTAGGAAACGATCCAAATAGAATCAAGGGATATAATGGGTATTTAAATAAGACAGTGAGGGCGTAATAGGAAATAAATAAAGGCTATAAAAGGAAAATATACAATATGGGTAGATCTTTTTTAAACGCCTAAAATAGCATATGGGACTAACATTATGAAACGGAGGGAGTACAATATTTAAAAATACAAAACTAAAGATATTAACGTTTGAAATTGGAAAACGTGAAAAAACATAATGTTGCAAGTAAAACCCTATGGCCATTATTTATATTGATACTAATGAATGAAGTCAACATAAATACTTTAGACTCATAATTCAATAACCATAACAATTATAACCATCGTATTTATTCAAACATCATATGGTAAAAGCTATGACTATATTTTCAAGTAGAATAAAATAAATCTAGAAAATACATAGTTCCTCTGTTTGTCTGTAGATGCATCACTTTCTAAAAAAGGAACATTTTAAATAGATACATCACTTTCCTTGAAAATTAATAAACTCTCTCTATCTCTCTCCTATCACATGGCTCTAATTTTTTCTTTCTCTTTATCTCTCTCATCTCCAAAAATTGCCTAGGAGTCCACAATTATTAAAGCGATGCAACTAAAAAGAAACGGAGGAAGTAGATAAAATGACATCAACAATGCACAACATAACACCTATCTGTAATAGACAAACCTAAGAAGGGGCAATATAAATAGTCATGGTCTTTGAAATTAGTTTACAGAGAGAGAGGGAAAGGAAAAGGTAGGCAGATTTTTGAGAGAACACTTAGGAGAGTTGTGACCTCAAGTCACTATTCGGAGAGTAGTAGCCTTAAGCTACCTCGTAGATTTGCAACCTAAAGTTGCTAGTTTGTAAAAAGCTCAAACCTTTTAATCAAAGAATCAATCTTTTTCTCTCTATTTTCCTGTTATTTTCGTGAGTAAGTTAGCAGTAATCTCGGTGTATCACATGTAGTAATTTCAGTCTATTACACTGTTGCTTCTACAATTCTACTACATACCGTAATATTTTTCCCCAAGGATACAAGTTTCCACTGTTTTAATGAGGTAATTGCAGCCCTGTTTTTCTTTTTCACTTTTAAAGCATCCACATACAAACACACAAATAAATGAGAAATAGCCAAATGGGGATTACCCTACTGCAACACACAAAATTCAAATCCATCACCTACAGTGCAAAAGAAATTTATTACTAATCACCTAAAGTTTAGCTGGAGTAACTATGCACCTCCTAAGTCCTACTATGGAGGGCAGTGAGAAACAAGACAACAGGTTTATATCTGCAAACAATGCTGCTTATTGATAAACAGATTTATAATAAGAAAAATCAGTTGAATTAAGTAGGGCTCTTCTGTTACAAATTTTCAGTTTTGGTTCAACAGTTCAATTTAGGATAGCAAGGTACTGTAAAAGATTCTAGAGCCATTTCTGTTACACATTAAGCAAAATTTATAGATGATGAAGATGGCTTTGGCCTTTAGATGATGAAGATGGCTTTGGCCTGAGATTCAAGAGGGTTATTTACATAGAGGACTGGAAATAATAGCAGCACGATCCATCAACAGAAAAAAGATAATCCGTTCAAAAACCGTTATTTTCTTCTTTATACTCCCTATAAAATAAAGAGGGAAATATTCTGATAATATTTGATGGAACTGGTGAAATAGTTGAGCTAGTTCACAGAAAATTTATACTCCCTATAGAATATCTTCCTTATATTACAGGATGGTACTATTTACCTGTTATGTTCACAGTAGCTATTATTGTAGGATAGACCAGAACAATGGAATTTAATTCAGAAATAATAGCACATGTAATTATGTAGAGCATCACATACCTTACGAAACACCAAGATGTCCCCCAAAGGGATCGATAAGGTCATCTTCAGAGCCATGTCAAGGGCATCAGCAAGAGCTCTATCGCCATAAAGTTCAAATACACCAAAATTGACATAGTTTCCACCAAGAGCTACAGTGAAAAAAGAATTAACAACATTAATCAAGACGTGAACATACCCACATAATTTTCACATGCAGCAAGACCCATTAGAAAAGTTATATCATTCAGATAAAATAAATAAGTAGTTTAGTTGTTAATTCCCTCTTTTTCTTTTCTAGATTAAAATCACTGTATACTGATATTCATAGAGTGCCACAAATTTTAATTTGACAATCGCCACCATACAAAGTGCCAAAATTTTCCTTAAATATTCTTTATACAGAAATTAGGGAAGATAATGCTACCTCTGTCTTACAATGATCATCTTATTTGGTTTTCAGCAATTACTTCCCCCGTTGCACAGCAACAATTATCATTTTAGGAAGTTTCACAAATATCAGAACATTTCCCTATTTGCCCATGTTGTCTCTCTTTCTCTTTCCTCATCACATGGGTCTCTATCTTTATTCCTCTCTATCTCTCTCCTCTTCTTAAAATCCATGCCCCTTCCCCATGTTGCAATATTAGGGGAACGGAGAAAGTATTAGTTAGGAATTTATCAATACAAATAGTAGTGAATTACAATTGTAACAATAGGCATTGTGTAATTAAAAAGACAATCAAAGGATACACTATCAAAAGAAAAGAGCTCATTCTTAGGGATGAAGGGTCTAATTAATTAGAAAAACATGATATAGTCCATATTTAATCAATTTAGATAAATAGTTCATTAAGTGTGAGAGGGACAATCAGCAAGCACATCTAGAATACATGTCACTGGTCCAAACAATCACAAATTCTTCAAAGAATATAATTGAACAGAGCTACATACACCAATTTATTTTTTTTTATTTTTTTTTTTATGGAAAAACTACAAAAACTTAAAACGGAGATAACAGGGAATAAAAAAAGAAAGAAAGAAAAAAGAGGCACATACATTATTAAAGAGTCACATAGTTACGATGTAAAATCATCCATCAGCAACACACACACACACACACACACACACACACACACACACACTGACAGAATAGTAAGAGGTTATGAATGTCAAATGATAAGGTTAATAATCACTCGATGGAGAGGAATTGTGATGACCTTGTGTTACAAAGAAATTTCCACGTGAAATGATAAACATTGGATACTAAGAGTTGTATATGGAGTTAAAGACACTCGATGCTGCAGTTTAGGGCAGATATATGAAAAATTTATAGATGATAAATGCCTCCAAAACCTAGACATGCATCCATCCATGTAGTAAATCCTGTAAGACATCTAAATAACTAGGAATTGAAAGTATATTGAGAGAGTTAATGTTGCGTAAAGGGTTGATGGGCTCACAACAAGTGGAAACAATGCATGCATCGTTGATTTTATCAGCATGCTTTCTGTGGTGAATGGCCATCAATTGAACCTATTCTTAAGCTATCAGATGTTTGAGCCTCTTTTTTTCTGTACCCTCTGATCGCCATCTTTTGTATTAACTTTTTGCAGAGGATGCAGGATGTGTCGGGAGGTTTAAGCATTGAAACATGATGTCTGTTTCTCATTAGCAATTCAGAGGCAACATTATTATTTTTTGTCTCAAATAAACTTCAGAAGGTCAATAGTTTACACTACCCTTAGATCTTTATGGTGATTTGCTAAGGTCATTCTGCAGCCTTCTTCTCCAAGAGTATTTGTTCCAAAGTGGGTGAGCGTCCTGAGCGACCCTAATTTCCCGCTTGCCTACGTCTGGGTCCCATTCAGAAATCGGCGACAATAGCCTAGGGATAGTGTGAGAGTTTTTGAGAGGGGTAGCATTGGGGAGGCTTTATCCTATTCAATTCCAGTGCTATTTATCACTTTACAAGTGAGAGACCATCTTGTACAATCAAACTGTGCATAGGCCTAAAGTAAAACTCTAGCATGAAAAAAATCTCTAGGGAAGAATTTATCGCAGTTCTGGAATTTATATCTACCTCCTATTTTATATCAAGTGATCAGAGCAGCTATGATACTCTCAGGGCTTTAGGGTACTCAGATTTCCAGATCCCGTGCATGGACTTACAGTTATAGTCCATACAAATGCATGTCACATGGTTCCATTTCAAAAATGTGCTAGCTTAGTTAAAAGTGGCATTAGGAAAAAGATTGATTTCCTTAAGTGTACTAAGAAAAGGTTTTTTATTTTCTTTTTGGGAATCTACAATTCAGATGAAGTCCTCTAAATATTGAACGAGCTTACTAAAAGGTTGGTTAGAGGCATGCCCTTTCTGGATTGTAGATGTTGGAGGATACGGTTCGCCAGGTTGGGGATTTATCTATCTTTTTCACTCCTTAATTCCTTATATAAGCACTTTTGCAAAATTTTGAATGAGTATAGCCAAAAGCATTAATAGATTAAATGATAAGACAAACTGCAAATTTGACAACCCAGCATGGAGACTGAGCATATTCTTTATGTGTTTTGTGCCTGAAAAGACACTGAAATAGGGATTTATTAGTTTATGCATAAAGCACTTTTATAAGCACCCCTTTGTCAGAAAACAACCTTATAAAATTTATTTTGGCAAGTTTAGACCTTAAACAAATTTTTTTTGTCAAAGAAGACCTTAGCCAACTTTCCGACGTTGACTCTCTCTTTTCCAGTGTTGACTAGAGCAACTTGGCATGTGATCTTATTTCTTTCCTAATTACACTCTTTTCCCTCCAAATTCCCCCACAAAAGACCCATGCTCTCTCACATCCTCCATAACGATCTTCCTTTCGCTCAAATTTGAAGGCTTAATTACCCCAAAAGCTGTTAAATTATGCAATTCAAGTCTTGAATGAATCAATTTATCACTTTTCGACCAAAATAATGTGTTTTCCTTTCTTTAGATTTCTGAATTTTTATGAAATTGGGTTGTTGAAAATTAGGTTTTTTTCCCTAAATTTTTTAATTGATGTAATCGAAGAACAATGAAGACGAAGATCATAAGGAAGGGGGAGTTCGGTTCACGAGTCTTGAGATATTGAGGAGGGAAAGGGTTGGGGCGTTTAATAAGATGGGGCGGGATATAAAAAATGGGTATCAAAGGGGGGTGATTATGAAGGTGGGGGTTTGAGGATTTTAAGGGATCTGGAGAAGAGGAAGAGTTACTTGGAACAGGATGAGGAAGAACAGGATCGGAGGTGGGAATGAAGATGGTAACGAGGAGGTTGGAGGGGTGGAGGGAAAAGAAAATGGAAGCTAGGGCATTTGATAGTTGGTGACTTGTGCTATAAATTTTTTCCGATTTGAGATGAAGAAATTGGATATGATGAGAAAGAATCAAAGATTGACGATAGAAATGGAGAATAAGGAGATATTCTTGTTTATTACTTTTGGTGTAGTGGTGATGGTGGTGGACTGGTGATAGTGGTGGTGATTGGGGTTGAGATTTTGAAAAAGAGGTCTAATTAGGAAAAAACAAAGTCAAGCGCCAACCATGCCCCAGTCAACGCTGGAAAAGAAAGAGTAAACGTTAAAACGTATAGTTAGGTCTTCTTTAACCCAAAAAAAAAAAAAAAAAAAAAAAAAAAAAAAAAAAAAAAAAAAATTGTTTAAGGTCTGAACTTGCCAAAAATATTTTACAAGGTTGTTTCCAACAAACGCGAGCTTTTAAAAGGTTGTTTCTGACAATTTTTCCTTAAATATTTTATGCATTAGAAAAATCCACTTTCCTTTGACTTAGGTTATCGGAGTCCTAAAGACGTGTGGGATCTATTAGGCTTCTTGGTCATGTTTGCAATTCCTAGTCTCATATCTCTTGTAAAACCAAAAAGTCAAGTAACCATGTTTCACAATCCCATGGGTCTTGTGTCTGGACTTCGGAAAAGAAATATTTTCGCGATACAATCTCCAAATCATCTACTTCAGACACAGTAGTCAATCTTGCGTACTTTTGATGTTCCTTAAGGACCTTAAGTACTTTTGATGTTCATGTGTAAGCTAACATAATCATTAATTAAACCCTATTTAAGTAATTTTTCCACATTTTAAAACTTTTTTATTATCCACATTAGCTTTTAGTTTATTGGTCAACTTGCGATATAACCACTATCCTAATTCATGCAAAGAGTATTGACCTATAGTAATAACTAAAAAAAATCATTTACTATTATAGTATCAAGTCAAGGAATAGGAGGCTACGAATGAAATACCACACACACACACTTTCCTTATCTCATGCACGTAAATTTCAATGATAATGCTAAAACGCAGATTACAGATGCCCTCACCTCTTGACAGTATAGTTAAGCAAATCCATATGCCCTTGTACTTGAATGAATAGATTTCAGATGCATTAGGAAGAGATAATATCCTTGAGCCATATGCTACTATTAATTTGCTTACTTCCCGGAAAAGTAGTATTCCATTAGCAGAAGAAGAGTCAAATGTCAAACGCTGGGCCTTGTTCAGTACAAATTCAGCCATGAATTTTAATAATGGGGTTGTAACCTGTAAAAAGTAATCATGATTTTAACTTTAATGAGACTAATTCATCTAGATAAAATCCTAAAAACAAAATTAGATTAATAAATAAATATTATGAAGTATTAAGAAAACAGGAGTTCCGGTGTCCAGCATTTCTTGTTGAGAAAACACAGAGAATTTGACAACAAACACATGCGTGGTTGCAAGGAAATCACAAAGATTAGCCCAACACTCAGTCACCACTAAAAGCATTCTTAAAGAAGAATGGAAGCCTTGCAGTGATCTGATAAGTCACTAGAAAAAGGAGAAGATTATTCTTATTACCCAACAATGCAGGTCTGCAAGTCAATTTACTGTTGGGAGGATGTATAAATTGAAAAAGGTTAAACATTTTATAAAGATTCAGCATTACTCTCATAAAAAATTATCGATGAGGCATCTAAATATATGAACCAGATCAGCATCACAGTTACCCAAAATAAATGGCCTAGCTAAAAATTTATTTCTTAGTTAACAAGGCAAAACACAAAAGCATAGAGTAATGCAGATCCATTTACACTAGAAAATTCCAGATTATACATTAGAACATAGAGCCCTTATTTTACATTACCATAAGTTATATACTAGATGCCTCAATGGACTATGAGAATATCATACCTCAGGAGTGTCAGCCCAATGTGAAATGCCTCTCAAGAGGAGTGGCATCCTTGAAGGATACAACCAATCGAACAAGAGCCCATAAGTTCTTCGACTAAAGTTAACACAGAAAAATTTATCATAAAAATCAAACTCAGAACTAGGAGCGCAAATAAGCAATAATCTGTTAGAAAAAGATACCTGTTGGTGGCCATTGCAATTCCCCTGAGATCTCTCATCAGTCCAATTAATGAGTACTTAACATTATCACTTCGAAACATTGTATCTGGAGTCGACTCCAACGAAACAAAAACCTACAAAGAACAAGTCATATCACATTACCAGAATTAAATCCTAAATTGCTCCAGGCCAAAGAGCCACTTTACAAAGACACAAAACACAGACAAACCCCATTTTTACAGTTGGTATAGCCTTCACAATCATATCTTGATTAAAAAAACGTAGCAAGCTGTGTGCTTTTCTCCAGATATTGATTGGTAAAGCAATACAAACCGAAGCCTTAATCCCAAAGATGGGTCAGCTAAAAACAACAGTTTGGACTCTAAAAAAGCAATACATCACAAATATTTTTCATATTCCTATGCGTAACGATTTAACGATTTTTGGCATATTAACAAAGATTAAACAGCTTGATTTGGTCAACATTAGTGCAATGACATTCAGTTATGATATCATATCTTTGACTGCCTCACGTTCCTTACATATTATAGTTTCCCGTAATATGTCGCCATAATGTATAAGATTTCTCTGATACAGTTAGTCTACGTATTTTTTTTTCCCTCTCACAATTCATAAGACATACACATACCACCATACTGTTCTAACTTCTTTAGTTGTCAAAACACAAATTTGATGGTTAATTTTTGTATGCATATTAATTAGTAAAATTATATAGAAAAGTTACACTTCGAAAATATACATTGTATTATACTTTGAAAATATCCATTGAAACTTATACAACAACATTTTATATTTGCATGGTAAAAAGAAATATTTTAAATTGACATCCCCCACAATGTACAATGATGTACTCCGTCAGTCTTCAAATCATTGCCTCTAAGGCTTGGGCACGCATATTAAGAATATATGGTATAGTGTAGGCTTTTAGGTAGATAGTGGAAGATTACTAGGGGTAGCAAAAATTCTAGGTACTCGGAATTGGACCAGTTAGGAATTGATGGTTTTGGAACCAGAATCGATTAGGAACCAGAAGGTTCGTAACCAAAATTGGACCAGGTAATGAATTAAGGAACTGGTTACAACCGGTTTCCATTCCCATTCTCAGTGTTTTGGAACCGGAACCAATTGGGTACCCAGTTACCCGACACATATTAAAATATATATGTATTGTAAACACCAAAACGAGTTGCATGTATATAGTTAGTAAATAATTAATGCTTTAAGAAAATAGCTCTGTTTTTTTTTTTTTTGGAATGGTAAGGAGAAGAGCCCTACTTGTCGGAACCTCTCATAGGCCCTCCCAACCCGGGTTAGTGGTCTAGGCACTTTGGGAGTTGGGGGGAAGGGTAACGAAATCCCAACCCCAAAGTGCCTCTAGAGGAGTTTGATCCCACAACCTCTTGGTTGTGAGATGCAAACTTTCCCACTAACCAAGTGTTACTTGGTAAATTAAATAAATAAATAAATAAATAAATAAAACAAACAAACAAACTTAATGCATACAACAAATATAAGTATCAAAAGCTTATGAATGAAATTGACAAAAAAAAAAATATTATAATTTGTATTGTTTTTTAACAATTACATATATAACCAGGTATCCGGAACCAAAACCAAAACCAATACCCAGTGGTTCCAAACCCAACTCCAAAATTTTAGTAACCGGTTATACCGATTCCAAATTTTAGGACTTGATCCCAACCAAACTCCGGGTCCAGTTATTTAAACCGGGTACCTTATCTGCTCACCCTAAAAAATATGAATAATGGAGAAAGATATAGCGGAGGACCCACATCACACACATTATAAGAAGAGAGAAAGTGAGAGTGAGGTAGTTATGGTAGAGCCCAAATCACATAAAATTGGGTGAGGAGAATTTTCCGTATAAAGTAACAAAAAAATTATATGGGGACAAAATATTTGTGGACAAAGGGAGTAATTACTAGGAGCATCACCACCCATATTTTTTTAAAAAAATTTTTATGTCATGACATGAGTTTTAGTGGGAAGAAAAAAAATCATCTCATGGGTTGATATGTTCCATTGATGGTACTTGGTACATATCATGCCTCCATTTTTGCAAATATCAACTATTATTACTTTTTAGTTCTAATTTAAAAAGCTATTTTCTCCAAAATGATATTGATAAAAAAAAAAAAAATAATAAAGAAAAAGCAATCAAGAGTCATATTTTTTGTAGAGTTTTAAACAGGCACCACTACTGGCATATTTTCAATAGAAAAAGAATAAGAAAATTTGTTGTAGAAGAGAGGAGGATTAGTAATTTTGAAAATGTTCATGAGCAAGATAAAGTTTGATGTAAAAATATAATGTCATGACATAGATGATGTGAATGAAAGAGAAAGTGGCAGAGAGAGAGGAATGATAGTGAAAGTGAAATGTTCAAAGACTTTAAACATAGGCATCATAGTCAAATTGCATAACCCCATCATTGTGGATATCAGCTAACCTAGTAGGTATATTCTTGGAAGTTATGCCTAAGACCTACATCACAACCCTTTTCGTATACCAAAAGCATAGCCCTTGTCATTGATGTAGTTACAAATCCAAAGTTTGTTAACAAGGAGAGTGATAAAAGATAGAGGAATCAATCAACAGCTTTTATGTAACAGGTAGAAGTATGCTCATTTGTTCAAGAAAAATAGATAGATGAATCAATTTTAGAGCAAACAAGATGTTAGCTAAACATTTAATAATGCAAAATTGAATATTAATTTCACATACAACCTCTGGATTTTCAATTTTACTCACTTTTCATTTTGACACTATACATACATACCATTTTGATTGTCTTTTCTATGATTTGTACCAAAGAAAAAACATAATGTGGATCTTGTTAGATTCATATCGGTATGTGCTTTCATAAAAATCATACTACCGCCGTTTTGTTTTAGTTGACACCATTCTATTATCACGCTTGCCAATGCACAATTTTCACGATCAATATCTCTTTTTTTTTTCTTTTTTTTGGTTAAAACAATCAATATCTCTAATTATAACGTTGTAAAATTATAAAGAGTGGATATTAATAAAATATACATTAGGACGATACAAACAAGATCCCACATGACTATGCTTTATCGTAGCTATAGATCACAAAAGTTAGTCAAAGTATAGTTTGTGAATAGTGCAAAAGTTAAATGGTCTGTCAACTAAAAAAAACGGAGGAAGTAATAAGTTTTTATAATTTTACTTGTAAAAAGTTAAAAGACATGGATTTTGTTATTTTGAAATTGTAAATTTGCAAGTGGAAAAAGTCAAATAGAGTAAACTATCAGAAAGAAACGAGTAAAACAGACTACAGAACCTTGTCAACTTTCTCCATACCATCACTAATTTCCTGGACTTCGTCCTTAACACATTACTTTACTTAGGGCCAATATACAAAAATGATCATATTCAGCATCCTTACACAGCAGGGCTGGATAAAAAATGTCATATATATTCAGAAAGATCAGGCTCTATTGACTTTAAAATAAACTGCTTAACTAAAACTATTCTTACGTCCACTTCTTTTATCACTTTTCTCACCAAATATAGAGGAATACCTTTAGAAGAGGCTCCATTGAGGACTTGAATTTTACAGGGCTATCCTCCATAAAGATTAGCCAACCAATTATATAATAAAAAGTTGTTCTGCTACGAGAGCACCTATGCTCTTCCAGAAATGGAAAGTGGTCCCTCTGAAATCAAAATGTCAAAAAAAAAGAGTCAAAACCACTATAGAGCTTAAGTTCCTCAGCTAACAAAATAGGGAAATGACAGATTCAAATACATTAGACAAACAGTACCGTGTGGTTTGCAACAATGAACTTGACTGTGTCCAGTCTCAGAAGAAACTTTCCAGTCATATAACTGCAAAAACAACCAAAGGCTACATCAGTTTAATTTTTCTAGTTTTTTCTTATACAATAAACTGTAAAGCAATCTAGGTTAACATAATTACTTACCCAGAAGCCAGCTCCAAGAATAGACTCAATGTATGATCAATAACTTGTTCGCTCTACATACAAGAAGAAAAGCAGAGGTTAGACGAATATATTAATCTACTGAGAATAAATAAGCAATCAAGACCCACCTCTGTATAACATTTTAAATTTGTTGCAATCTTGCTCACAATGACGTTTAGTAAAACTAAATGATCATTAAGCCCTAGAAGCTCCGATAATCGAGCATATAACTGCTGCACCCAAAGATAAGAGTCTCAAGCACAACTTTAGAAATAAAATATTGTGTGGTAATCATATTATATGATGTTGTTACCTTGGACGAATGCATGGCCTGGTCACCAATATAACACTTTCGGAAATTCTGGAAAAACATGAGTATTGCACGATCTAACCTCTGCTTGCTAATTTCAGAATATCTCTTCAACATGCAAAAAATTAAAGGTTATTTTACATTGAAAAGTACGATAAATTAATAGGAAAAGAACCAAAAATAGTCACACAAGGACTCAAAAATTCTCTCAACTTTTACACGCAGTTAATGTACATAAAAGTGCGGAAGAAATAATAACCTTCCCACATGCATTCAAAAAAGGAGTACCAATAAAAAAAATCTAACAAAATGGACCAAGTTTCCAACAAAAAATTCTGCAACCTGCTAAAAATCAGGTTGAAAACTAAAACTCTGCAAAGGCGGTGTTGGAAATCTAAATCTACTCCAGCTATAAAATCCCCATCATTAATAAGGTAGCAAGACTGCTCAGAAACCTAAGTTCCTTTTCATCAGCTTGCAGACATAATGAATATGAAATTCTTTTACACTGCCTCAGAAGGTACTACTGCGCTACACTAGGGAGGACAAAAGGCTTTGGGAGCCTTATTTAGGTTTATAAAACTAACATGCAACTAGATAGTGGGTTAATAGTTTATCAAATACACAAGATGTGAGAAGAGAAAAATAATAAAGAGGGTAGGAGTGGGGATCATGAGTGAAGAGAAATAATTAGAATTCTAGTAGAGGGGAGTAGGGAACCAAGGGAGGAGAGATAATTAAAAGTAGTATAAAGTTTCCAAATTGGAGAAGTGTAGCACTTAGAAGATAAAACAACATGAGTACAAAATATCAAGTCACAATGCTAAGGATGTAGTAAAGTTAAAATCCAAAATACTGAACCACCCGTGACACTTGTGTGGCTGAAAAACAGGATGGAACAATGGGAGGCGGAAAATATGGAACAATAAAATTTGGTTCGAATCCGGACTCTTAAAGATGGAGGGGAGCAGGAAAAGGGGGAAAATTGGTCATTACTTTTTACCCGACGGCATCTTGCCAGGAAGTTGGTGGGCTCATCATGAATTACGTTGGGGTGGCTGGTAACTACCATAATGAAACTGCCTTTTCTTTTTTTTTTTTACATCCGTACTGGAGTTATAACATTTGAATTTCTCTTATATTCTACGTTCCAAAAACGGATTCTATCATATATTTTTCACTCTCTATGATTATCTTTATTTCAAGTATTTGGGGAATTCTACTTAATAGACGAAACATCCTTAGTACACGGCTGAGGAAAAAAAATCAGTGAAAAAAAAGATTAAAAAGTTAAAATGTAAAAATAAAAATTAAAAATAATATTATAAAGTTTTTTTTTTTTTTTTTTTTTTTTGAGGAAGAGAAATAAAGTTAATAACTCATTAATATGATATGTAACACAGTTTGTGACAGAATAAACGCCTACAACTTTCACAGCTTTTACCTGACTATTAAATTTCAAACATGCAATCTGCAGACTTTTCAGAACCGGTTGTTTAAAAATGGTATAGGAAAAAAAAAAAAAAAAATTAGTTTCAAACAAACAAAGTCACAGCAACAGAAGACCAAGAATCATCCCTCATTGAAGAAGAGTCAAACACTATACATCTGTTATCAAGATAACCCCTTACAGAAAACGAAGCATGACACAAAGAAAAAACGAAAAAATGAAAAAAGAAATAAAGACTCAACCAGAATCCATGAGCAAATAAAATAAATAAAGCTACTTCCTATGAGCTGCCAACTTTCTACAATACCAAAATATCACAGCAGGTGCTGCTTATATAAACACAACCCCCCACCCGCGCCCTTCAACAAATGGAAATTCTTGAAATCCTTTGTGATGGTTCAACCTAAAGAGCCAGTTTTTGTTGACATAAGCCCGGCCCAGAAATAAGGGGAAGATGGGGTCCAGAAGGCTGTTAGAAAGTGTAAGGTGGCAATATGTAAGTAAATAATCAGGGTAAGTGGGATTTGAGGATTGCTGTAATGACAAGCTGTGAAAGCAGAACAGAACAAAAGAGGAAAAAGAGGGTAGTAGCGATTTATTGATTGTGTACTGTTTTTCTTAGGAGAGTGTGAACCTCTTGAAAGCTCATTGTTATCATAATCATTAATTTTGCAGCCTGAATATTATTCAAATCATCTTTTTACTTAATTTCAATGTTTATTTGTGATTAAGCTCATTTAGACCATCTTGCATTAGAGTTTATCTCACGTTTCCCACACAGTAGTGTAGTACTACATCAATATCAGCCACTTGGGAGGATCTAGCCTTGCAGGGTGGTCATTACTGATTCACAAGGATCCCACATTCCCACGTGTCCCATAATATTCGCACCAGATCATAAGTTACTGATGCTTCCAGCAACTAGTATCTAACCATCTAGAGTGCACCAATCCACATTCCACAGTTGCCTCGAAGAAGGACACTATATCATAATAAATTGGGGTGCCTGCAATCTTTGCTAAAAGCACTATAATAAAGATCGCTGTGATACCTTACTGAGTGATCCACTGTCTGCAATCTTCACTAACTGCAGAACACGTGCCGAAAGTTCAGCATCAATTACCTCTTGTGACTCTGTACTGCAATAAAGTAAGATCATAACATTATTTTTCACCCAAAAAAAAAAACATGGATATTTTTAGTAGAATTCAGGCATAAACTGTCTGTTATACCTACTGCCTGTACATTGCTTGATTTTGAGAATAGCAGCAATAATATGAACAATCCATGCAAGTTTGGCTTCAATTACAGATAGCTCTTTGATATCACTGGTAGGCATTTGAGCTCTTTCCTGTAACATAATACTAGTAAATAACTTTTGAAACACTGCCAACATGAATAACACGGAAGTCTCATTCACAAATCAATTCAGAGTACCGTATAACTCTGCAGAATAGGCTCTATGACATTAACTATATATAGGCTGCTGCGTTCATACTGCAAAATAACGTTAACAAACAAAATCAGTGCTAAAACAAGAAATAACAGTGATTTTAGTAGTCTATTGCTATACGCCTATACATGTATCCATGGAACAACTACCGATTAAGATACAAGCATTTCAAACAAGAATTCATACTCTAAGAAGAAAATCAACGCAAAGGAAAAGGAGCAACCTGGAATCTGCAAAGATAAGGAAAACAATCAAGCTGGTCCTGAAGAAGTTCAACATTGTCGAGGGGATTCTCAGAGAAGTCATCAGGAAGCACAGCCTAAAAAGCAAAATTGAAAAGGACAATTGAAATTTTATATCAGAATTAGAAAGTGAAACTAAAGAACACTGGCAAAAGTTTCATTTTGAGACAAAACCTGCACAGAGTCAAATCTGGAGGTGATAAAACCCTCAGTGATCTTTGGCACGAACTCATCAAGCAAACTTGGCGCATCACCTTTTAAATATGGTACAGAAGTTACCAACCTCGACCACAGCCCCAGAAGGTAGTATACGCTGCTGCTGGCCCACTTATACACCATTCACAAGGTAAACAATAAGGGTCATGGCAACTCGTGAAGCATCAGCGGTAAAAGAAATTTATCAATGAATTAACTGGGAGACAATACTTTCCAATACAAACACAGGATAGGAGTAAGAATATATCAGCAAGATCTCAGATAAAAAGAAGACAGCTCTTTCAACTACAGGGATTAGATAAAGTTAGGGCAGCACACCCTTCAATCAAAGAAAAGTTCATTAAAGCAAGAGCTTTTTAATCCAAAATAAGTGCTGCTTTATAATACTTTGAGATAAGACAAACTTTAAAATCTCCACCCCAATATGAAGTTCCACATTAGTATATTTGGATGACTAGACGACCAACATAAAAATTATAATCCCTTTTTGCTTTTTCTCCCTCCAGTCCATCAGCCCTCTTCTCTCCGTGTCACAACATTTTCCCTCTTACAATTTTTCCTCTTTCCATCCACTTAAAACCCCATGCCAATAGTCCTTGTAATACAAATTAAGTGTTTGAGATTCATCCACATAGATCAGACTAAGTAAGGATCTTTAAGGAATCCACGAAACTAACCTGCCAGGATTGTAACGATTTTGATGTAAACTCAGCCACGAGATGTATCCAATCACTGTAACCTTCCAAATTAACAAGTTCTGACAACTGTAATACAGACATAGAATTACCGAGTTGGCAGTAAGAAAACCATACTGTATTATTAATCATGTGACTGCAAGACCACAAAAATGCAAAAGAAGGAAATGGAAAGCCAGCAGCATTCCTTTAGAAACAAACATAGAATCATCTCGTCCGCCTTTGTTCATAAGAAAAACATAATTATGGTGACCATGAGATTCATGACAACAATGCTTGTAAAGAACAAGTGCCCACTGCCAAAATTCACCATACTAACAAGTCAAGAAACTGCTAGAAATTCCACAAATAGACTCCAAATTATTAATCCAGTTGATTTATAGAAACCACTTTCCAATGATTCTACAGCTACGTGTTTGGGAAGAAGAGACCTTAAAGGCAGTGGATCACTCTTAGGTCTCAGCCTCCCTGTGACCATCTCCACTTAGAAGAAAATACCCATACCGTTAGGATTTCAATATTCAGGTAAGAGTACTGGAGCTATAATCATCCTAGACTAGAGCATCGCCAACAGCAAAACAAGATTCTGATCAAAAGGATGCTCTTCCGAACAAGATTTTTGTTTTTTTTTTTTTTTATGATTACCTATTAGAGAATCAGAATACATTTAAAATTTCTCTTCTACATAAATTTTCCATGTCTTCACATGCCAGATTTGATTTAGGGAATCACTCAAGAAGCAGAATTTTGCAACAAGGTTTTTGATTTCTATCCGCTTCTAATTTTTATTCTTCATAATAAAGCAATATAAATTAACATGTATCTGTAACAAAAGATCCATTTAGTGAGGAACAACTGAGTAATGAGTGGGTAAAACAGTCACTAACTCCATTCAGAAGGGCTTCAATGCATCACATACAATTGAAAAAATATATATATGCATATTTTTTACCTGATAATTCACTCTAAAACGACCAAGAAGACGGCAGAACTCATGGTAGTTATCATGTTGCGCAAGACCTGTGTTAGCGAAGAAAAAATTTCACAGAAAATGAAAAAATGAAATACAAAAAACAATTCCAATCATAGCCAAGCCTTCAAAAGTCATAAAAATAAAGTAAAAGCTAAAACTATTCAGAGAGAGCATAAAACCCGAGTGATAACCTGATGAACCTATGTTATGAGTAAGACAATATAGATTTAAGATACATTATTGGGAAACCCTATAAGGTGATCTTGTGTTTTGCAAAATTTTATATGGTGGATTTTTTTTTTCCCATGGTGACATTGGGTTTTTGCTTAACAATATTCCGTGACCTTGTATAGCATAATCTGTTAAAATTTCATTGACTAATCAACTTTTTTTCTATATCATCCCTTTATCTCCATGACCAACGACCACCACCTTCCTCCATGACTATCGACCAGCCCCTTCCTCCATGACCATCGACCACTGCCCCCTTCCACCATGACAAGTTACCACCACCCCTTTCTTGCATGAACATTGACCACACTGCCCAGCCTCCATGACAGCCACCCAGCCCACCCTCCCTAGAAAAACCGGCAATTGGTACCCACCAGTCCACCACTACCCTCATTACCCAAAAACAGCCACTACCTCCACCCCTTCAGATTTACTATTCTGGTTGTACAAACGTTCACAAAAGGCATACTGAATAAGAGAAAAGCCTCAAAGGTCACTGGCAACAGATGGAGCGGAATGTAATAAAACAGCCCATTTCCATTAGCAAGTATTAACAATAAATTAAGCAAAGTAAAAACAAAGCTTATTTAATTCTCTATCTTCATGAAACTAACATCATCTTCAATGCATAAAATAATAAAGCTCAAGACACTAAGGCGATAGGTATACAACTATACTCAATATATGCATTAAAGAAATTCCTACAGCTTCAGTAACATAACTATTCTCAAAGTCATAATAAATGAGCAATCTTCATTTTTCTTGCCCATAGGAAGCTCCATACAAAATTACAAATGCCATAATAAGAGCAACACCAAAAACACTTAAACATTTTAATAATTAATTTTTTATTTTGTTTAGAAAAAATTCAGTGTCTTCAGGTTGTAAAGACTTTTTCATATACTCCGTAATAAACATTGAATGAGCAAATAGTACCTTGTCCACTCTGTAATATTTCTTTAGTTCCTGTCATTAGGTGGGCCAAATATTTGGAACGTACACTATCAGAGAAAACAGAGCGCCTTACTGAAGCCAAACGTACTAAGCATTCGAGAGCCTGAGAACATAAGAAAGAATATTTAGGAACAGGTCAACAAATTAAGACTTAAGAGACACCTATGCCTTATAATAATTAAACAGCATAGAGAGAAGGGAGAAAACTATGTAAGATGTAGATAGAAATATAAAACTGTCTTATTATTCATCATCAAATAAAGTGATATATATATACAAAGATAACTACCAAAATGATAATGAACAGACACAATTTTAGAACACTCCCCCTGATGTTCATTATCTAAAACAATACAATATCTTTTTTGAGGTAAAAACAATACAATATCTACTAATGCGCATGAAATGCTAATTTTCAGTAATTTAGAAAAGAGAATTTACTATTTCAATATGACCATTGGTATGGAGTCCCTTTACATATCAATTGCAATACCATTATGCATTGGCAACCAACAAAGACGTCACAGCGTAATCTCTATGTAACTGTGCTCTCAATGAAGTACATCATCAGTTCAAAATGACCATAGTCAACTAGAGGGTCAAAAACATCCAATGAACTACTGTAATATATAACAATAACTACTGAAGCCTACAGGGTGATGTTACAGAGCGTAACAGTACATGAAAAATTAGAAAAACAATAATGCTATGTTACTAGGACTTTCATACTCATGCTGGACATAGATACTTATCTATGTGTTAAACTCAGCTAAATTTAAAAAAAAATTAAAAAATAAATTTGAACCCAATTTAATGGTCTAAAATGAGGTTTCACTAATACCCATGTCACAGTGTCACAAGAATTTGACACAGGTACCTGAAGATTTAAGGTGATAGAGGTTGAATGAAGAGTTAGAGTAACATAGGTTAAAAGATACGGAGCCAAAGAGTTCAACAACCAACTTTCTATAGAAAAGTTCAACAGCAAAATAAAAATTAAAATGATAAATGTATCATAAACCTCCTTTGAAATTGGGGGCTGCGTGATAGCGTAGTAGTCAAAAAATATTTTTAGAGTTGAAGGATCTTCAAGAATAGGTTTCCAAGAAGATGGAACCTGCAATGAAACCAAGAGTCTATAATCATCATTCAAAGTTTATACAAAAAAAAAAAAAAAAAAAAAAAAACATGACGGCCATTGTCTTTGTTCAAGCATCAAACCAGTATATAACATGATTTTTAACAAAAGGGAATTCTGACCTGTACAGCACCAAACTCTTCAGAGCTCTCATCAACAGTTGTGCCAACAAAGTCAAAAGATAAACATTTCAGCGCAAGTGAAAGTGCCAGCTCTTGCAACTTGCTTGTCGCTACATGAAGTTTTATTAGAAATCATTGCGGTGAGAGAAAGTTATGAAATCAGCAATAATAATGTTGAGTTGTATTAATATTGAAGACGAAATTTCTACAATGAGAGGACTGTTTGACAGGGAAAACAAGAAAATTAAGAAATATGACTAGATGATAAGACATATTACAATCACTAGCAAGTTGCTGCAAGGATGTTAGGGAAATTTGGAAAATTTGAGAAAGTGATTGATCCCTGAAGGAGCATGCTACCCTCCGATGATGAGTTGCTGGTAAACCTGAATTAGGCTACAAATCAAAAGAAATGAACATCAATGTAAGCTGGTAAAAGTTAGCAAAAAAATTAAAGTAAAATAAAAAGACTGATTTAATGCAAAATATAACGAGCATACAATTAGCAAAAATTGATTTTATATATTGCACATAGAAGACAAAACATTTAATGACAGTTAGAATTATTAACCATGTTTCCAAGATTCAAGTATAATGCCCAACTGCTCAAAAAAAATCCACTAAAAAGGGCAAGTAATATGCACAAGTCACATAAATGATAATCTTAACAAACTTCATTGCTTCAGATAAACAGTGGGAAAATTTTAAAAATTGGCTAAAGTATACACCATCACCACCACAAAGATATAGATTCCACCTATAAAAAGGGACTAGGAATGTCCAAATGTAAGCAGCCTTAACCTAGGCAATGCAATACTTTCTATGGAACCCCATCAAAAACATTTTTTTAATACAACCAAAGATATTTAATATGTGTGAAATTCAATGTCGGTCCAGCCGTCTAGGGAAATGGAGGGCTGCGGGATACAACCAACATAAAACTTAGTCACATTCAGAAGGATGAGAACATACCGAAAAAAGCAGAGTACATAGAGTGCCATTTCAGTATTAAAACTTAGAGTGAGTCAAACAAGGTTATAGAAACATTAGATGGTTAGGAGTTGCTTATAAGACCATAACTAAGTGAGTGAATTATTTTAGGTTGGTTTTACAAAGTGATAAAGACATTGACCGAGATTTAAATTACATGATTACGTCTGTGTGGCTCAAATGGAGAGTTGATACATTGTGCAACAATTGTGTACCTTAAAGGTTTAAGAATACTTTACAAGATTCTATCAGACCAACGTTTTATAAAAATTAGAATGTCGGGCATTAACGATTTATCATACTATAAATTTGGAAATGGTAAAGATATGTCGAGATTGATGTGTGCAGACGCATTAGGGAATAGAATGTAGCATAAAGATATACGAAAGGAGGTCAAAGTTTAAATATAGAGGATTTGATAAAGGATAACCAATTACGTTGTTTTAAGCATGTGAGATGTCCTTAGGAGAAGATGCACCAGTGAGGAAATTAGAGAGTTGGGAATCTTAGGATACTAGGGATTTAGAATAAGCCGAAAGAGGCCAAAAATAACTTGGATAGATTTATAAATGATATGAAGACATAGGGTTTGCAGGAACATATAGCACAAGACAAGTAAATGGAGAAAGAGAAACTTTGTGAACAGCCACTCAAGATAAAAAAAAATATATATATATTAAATAAAAATAAAAATAAAAATAAACTTGGGTTCATGCAACCGAGCCCATTTAGTATTAAGGTCCTGTTAGCCATTATTTTGGTTACTAATTATAAAATATTGCAAAAGAAGAACAATACTCCCAATGTTCCACATTACTCTCACAACGCTTTAAATTTTTGCACTTTTTACACCCTGCTTTGAACATTTGTATACTAATGTAGATTGTATTAATATGTAAGATGTTGGCTTTGTCTTAACGCATATTTTCAAAATAATAGCTTTTTATAATTTTTTACTAATTGAAAATTTTACAAGTCAGGGTCAAAGTTTTGCGTTGGCCTTAACTTTATATGACGTGAGACGCAATGAAACGCATAGGATCACTACACCTAGGCCTAAGATGCGTGCGATTTGGATATAGGAGCACCAAAAGGCCCAATATATACTATGTAAACTAGTATAAACTTTTATAACAATTCTATATTAGAGAAGGATTAAAAAAAACGGTTTTGTCACCATACCTATTAGCTTATTCACAACTACCTCAACTTTTCAAATTTCACCATATACCTCCCATATATGCAAATATGTATTAGGCACCCCTAATGAAACACATGCATCAACTTCATTTCTTACTTAACCCCCGAGTAACCTTAAATCTTCGTTCTTTTTCCCATAACCCCAATTAACCCTTGACTAACTCTAAGTTTTCCTTCTCTCTCCCATTAACCCCTAACTAACCCATAATTGATCCCTAATTTAGTAAAATAGTTTTGGGCTTGTTCCAATTCTATTTATAAAGTAAACAAATTATCTTAATTTTACTTAAATACTCTTTATTTTTCTCACTTTATACCCTTTTCCAAACTCTTTCAGCCAATTATACGGTTCCTTACGACGATTCATGTTAACCGACCCCAAATCATTTTGGTTTGGGACTAAAGCATTGTTGTTGTTGTTGTTGTTTACTTAGGAATAAATGGGAGACTAAAGAAAGACTAAAAGTTAACTAAGGCTTAATATCCCAACGTTGACAACCATTATTCATTAAGCACAACTAGAAAAAATTTGCCTATTTGAGGAGTATATGGTGAACTTTGAAAAGTCGAGGGCATATTGTGAATAAGGAGGTATAGGGTGAGATGTCCAAATCAAAAATATATGATGGAGAATAATTAAAAACCTTTCAAAAGAAAAAAAATATATAGAAAGGGGCGAATTGGCACATGTTCATGTGATTACCACATAAAGTATGGGGCCTAAGGGCACCTACCTAATTGAGAATGATAATCTACAAATCAAAATTAAAAAAAGGAAGGGAAAAAGAAACACTAGCTAACGAATAGTAGGAAATTTACATTGTATCGTTGAAGCTTCTTGATAAAAAAAATTATAAAAAAAAATAAATAAATAAATATATATATATATATATATATATATATATATATATATAAAGTAGGGATCCGGTGAGAATAGGTCCATATGTGAGAATTCATACTTATATGAGAAGTGATCTATAATTTAGAACATACGAGTGAAAATTTGGAACATATGACTCCGATTTAAATTTAGAACATATGAGTAATAATCTAGAACATCTGTGTGAGTAATAATTTAGAACATTTGATTTAAGAATTAGAACATGTGAGTAAAAATTAAAAAAATTTGTTTTATGAAATTTAGAACATATGAGTAAAATTTAGAACATCTGATTTATCAATTTAGAACATGTGAATAAAAAATTTAGAACACCTGGTATAAATATAGAAAATGTGATTAAAAATTTAGAACATAGTAAAAATTGGAACATATGCTTTCAAATATAGAACATATAACTAAAAATCTTAGAACACACGTTTTAAAATTTAGAACATATAAGTTAAAATTTTGAAATAAGTCATTTAAAATTTATAACATCTAACTTAACTAATTTATGGTTTAGAACATGTGAGTACTAATTTAGAATATCTGATTTAATTTGGAACACCTGGGGAAAAGTTTAGAACATCAAATTTAAAATTTAGAACATACGAGTAAAAATTTAGAACATAAAAAGTGTTCTCACATATGAAAGAGTTCTCACATAAGTGAGGGGTTCTCACGAGAGCCTTCCCCTATATATATATATATATATATATATATATATATATATATATATATATATATATATATATATATATATATATATATAATAAAAAGAGTAGGAAAGAGTGAAAGAACAATCGAAGAGAGAGAAAAGAGACAGGTTTCGAAGAAAGAGAAATTGACATATCAAAGAAAGAGAACTTAAACTCAAACTCTTATCCTACGACGACAACCAAACGCCCGGATGCCAAACATCAAACGGACATGGGCAGCCGGGAATATCTTGCAAGATAGTAACAAAAAAATTTTGAATGCTAACTCTTCATTAAGGTGTAATTTTGGATCCAATCATTCAACTCAAGATCATTCTAAATCCAGATAGAAATTGACCATGAAGTTAACAGATTGAGTTATTATATTAACTATATTCCCAAACATAAAATATTGAAATTATATACTTCTGCAAAGGTAATCCTAATCTCCATGTCATTCAGGTTGCACATAAAACAGTGGCAATGAAATTATATATTTGACATCTTCTGCATAAGCAATCCTAATTCCCATGTTATTCTGGGTGCAATAAAACTCTAGATAGAAGGCACCATTATGGTGGTAAACAAGTTGATACCTTCACCACCATAGGAAAGATCAACATACCTCTTATCTCATTCTTGCAAGATCATGATGAAGATCATTGTGGATCATTGCCACTCAAAACACAACACAGGGAAGCAGACAGCGAGAAGGGGCATGAAAGTTACTCATTAAATTGAATGAAACCAGTTCTTCACTCACTTCAAGAAACTTGTTTTAGTCCATTATTTTGCAGTTAAGATTGCAATCAAATTTTATGTCAAGAAAGATTATATACATCTAGCGCTCTCATGATTGTCTTCAATATACATGTTAAACTTTTATAGTGGACCCCCAAAAAAACTTACACAGCAAGTAATAAGATATGTACTCATCAAAATTGTACTCTGGTTATATCTCTAAGTTTAATAAGATCAGATCAATAGAGAATGACAACTGAGAATTTTTATTATAATAATCCCAAACCACAGCGCTAGGTTTTCGTCAATAAAACTACAAGTACAATAGAAGAAACAAAAGTCGTGCAAAAGCAAATAATAAGAAAAGAGGTTTGCCTATCAGCAAAAATGAAATACTTGATTTCCCCGTCCTCTTCAATACATAAAAATAGTCAATTTAAGAATTCTAAAGATTGTACCAATGCGAACAACAAACCTGATTTATCTCAGAAACAAGCTGGTTTAATATCTTCAACCCAATAGCATAGTGATGCGGTGTTGCCTGATATGTTTACAAAAAGGAGAATAAGGATGCATTCATAAAAATAACATGCTAAAATTTTAAACAACTTCTTCAAATAGGTTGTAAGAATTTGCAAGTTCTGTAGCATCTCCATTCTCCAATCAAAGTATAATGCTCAAAGATCAATTTTAAGGTACTATTAGTTAGATAGTACAACAATGGCGATAGTTTGCTCCATCAACAGCAAAACTACTACTCCTAATAGGGTTGGACATCCATAAATAGACACTACTGCAGTAAATCACCAACAGATCAGACATAATAAAAGAACATTGGAAAACCACATTTAAGGTTCAAAATATATCTTTAGTGTGTTGCTCCTGTTGAGCTTCAATCCAACTAAATAAGGATTTGTCCATGCACAACATATAATGAGTTGCCAAATAAAGTACTTTGCTAGTGTATTTTGAGTGTTTCAGACCTTTCAGTCCTTAACCTTGCTAAAATGTTTACCAAAACAATTATTAAATCAGGAACAGAAGTCACAAGACAAATTTAAAGTTATTTGCTAAATAGAGTATTGTCAAATCTTCTATAGAGGCTCAGCTATGTCCTTATTTACCCAAGAAATCGACAAATTTACTGTGATAGGTTACCTTACTCAGGGAGAACTATAAAATAAATATATTGATAATAATAATGATAATGATAATAAAATAAAAATTCTCAAAATCATGCAGTTATGTCCTTTGGTTTATAAAGGGCGTTGCTTTACACAAATTCGGAGATACTCTGTCAATTAATAAGTTTGTATGAGCACAAAAAGATACAGCCTGCTTATGGACCTCTTTTATCAATAAATTGACAGCAAAATCAAAGATTGGAAATTGTTGATTACAGAATTGTAGCTCAGTAAAATAGCGACTACTAATACTTGTATGAACCCCGTCAACGACAAGGTAAAGAAGTAATGAACTCAGGCTGTACATGTACATAGTCATACCTATAACTAGTTGAGCAGCTACAGTGCTACGTGCGGTCTCTCAACAAGAAAAATAAATAACTAATAGAAAGAAAGCAGTCTAATAATGAACAAGATATTGTAGAAGAGAGGTTCAAAACCTAAAAATCAAAATATGAAGTAAAAGAAAGAATGATGAAACTAAAACTTATGGCCAGTCTAAATAAAGAAAATACAAAGTATAATTTAATGACAGATTACAGCAACAATTTTCTACTACTTGTATGTGACAATGGATAACAATCTGTTTGTCATCTCTTCTTCTGAAGACCATTTCCTTTTCTTGTTTGTTTTTGTTTCTTTGGACAGGAAAGACCATTTCCTTGATGAAAACTAATTTATGTGAAGTGCTTTGTAACTGGAACAAGCTTTAGAGACGACTAAAATGAAGCATCAGGACCTATCTATTAAACACCTGCTCTTGAGTACTGTGTCAACCTTACAAATGAAATCAACGAGTATATTTACAGCAATAAGCACCTGGCTAAGAAAGCTCATGGACTCTTTAACCACGTCCCTGAATCTATCATCATCAAACCAACCAAACTTTGTGAGCCGGCATAGCAGTTGAATGACAGACTGTATCACAAAGTGCTGTAATTCCGGCCCTCTTGTAGCCAAATAGTTTATCAAGTAATTCCCTTGCACACAAATACAAAAATGAACAAAGAGATCAGACAAGAATGAAAAGGTGAACTCAAAGCTGAGATTAGTCTTATGCCAATATTAGCAAGAATTGCAACTGTCCCGGTAGTGTGGATCACCCAGCTTTACGAGGCATTTATATTATAAATCAATGAATCATTTCTACAACAAATAATATAGATCAATGAACCATTTTTAGAAAATTCGGTACCACTCCATCACCAAATGTATCACTAACAATAACACACACAAGGACAGCAGATAAAAGTATGGAAACCTACTATTCAGTTAATGGAATTGATTTTATAAACCCCAAACCAAAGCATAGATAACCTCAACTCCGCTCACAATACTTTCACAGCTTAACTGTCATAAATCTCACCATTGCAAATTTGTTACCATATGACCTTTAATTAGGAAATGGGAAAACAAGAATCATAATTGCATCACATATACATGACATGTTTGTTGTAGTCCATTTCTCAATACTGAAAAGTTGTGCATCAGCGAGGCTTTCAGTTTTGTTTAGTCAATTCAACTATTATATCCAATTGAGCACTTCATTGTGCATTAACTAGAAATTTGATGCAGATCATGGTGGGGTAAATGTACTTTCTATTTTTACATAACAAACAAATAGAGAATATGGAGAATAACGAACTTTCACGATTCAAATTTAAACTAGGTTGCTATTTTGCAGCTATCTCGCATACACAAACTAAATTTCAATTCAATTAATTCAACATTGTTCCTCATAAGACGCTACAGCCTAACGTGCAATATAAATGCTAGAAAATTCTAAGAAAACAAAAGATAATTATTTTTTAAACTAAATTTATGACAGAATAAAAGATCAACAATAACTAAGTATTAACTCTAACAATTAGCCAAAATAGGATCTAATTTGCACGAAATCATCACTGTATTTTCCAAATAAAAGATCAACAATAACTAAGTATTCTGGAGTTGTACCACCAAAGTATTAAATGAAACATCATCATCTTCATCCATAGTTTCACATGAATCAAGGAGTAAAAAATCTTGTGCAAACAATTAGTGCATTGCGTCAAAAGTTTGACATTTGCTGGGAATTCGTTGCTTAATAGCAGCGGAAATTGTACAACAAAATTCTAACATTTTTTAATGCAACACAAAAAAAATCGTTGAAAAATTCCAGGTAAAAATCCAGATAGAGTCAAAACAACCCAACTGCGCAAAACTCCCAGATATCGAATGAGTTCTTTAAAGTTAAGTCGAACAATGGATCGATATTGAGAAATTATCTCCTTATATACCATTTGATGCAGATCATGGTGGGGTAAAAAGGATATAATTCAAGAAGTTTGCAGCTATCTCAGCGTACACAAACTAAACTAAGAAGTTGAAAAAGATGTGCCTTCTCAATCAAACTTCAAATTCAATTAACTTAACATCATTCCTCATAAATCACTACAACATAAGGCCTTTTATATATGCAATATAAATTCCACAAAGTTTCATATGTGGCTAGCCACACTGTGTGGCCAAGGTTACTTGGTCAAAGGTTATTCGGTTGGTCAAGGGTTACTCGGTTGGTCTTCGGTGTTGCCAGCCACATAGAAAACGCGCTGAATAAATTCTAGTATATTCTGGGATTACAAAAGATAATTATTCTTTAAAACCAAAACTATAACAAAGTAAATAATAATAATTCATTATTATCTTTAACAATTACCCAAAAGATAGAAATTAGCAAACTTGGACCTAATTTGCACAACATCATCATTGTATTTTCTAGATGCACTTCAAAATTGTTACTAAAGTCGTCCGTATATAGTTACCACCTAGTTAATCTATGTTACATGGACTCGGGTATCCATGTCCAACACGGGCGTTTGACTCGGCTATTTGTGTAAAAATTCCATGATTTTGAATGAAAAGTGAAGTATCCAAGTTTCATACCTATATCCATCGACAGTCCGATATGGGTACTTACAGTAAAATGAAAAGTTCGAGTAACATAGGTCCTAATGCCTCATAAACAAGGGTATGGCACAATCATACTAAAAAGAACCTCTATTAAAAATTAAACCATCTCAACACTATCATTGCACAATCTAAGTCAAGGTTCGAATAAAATTGGTATTCTAGATAAATTAATCACAAATCATATACTTATTAACCAAATGTGACTATTTCTAATAACACACACACATAGCTAAATTTTAAGGGTGATTGGGAATATAAAAAAAAAATGGCATTCTATAAAAATAATCACAACCATATATATCATATATATTTCAAGAAATGTGACACATTATATCGAACATCCTAAAATGGCATATGTGACTATTAATTACGGATAAAGGGAGATTAAAAACAAAGGCCATAGTCAGCTGCACATACTGATATCGAGGCGAAGCTGCAATGACAGTGACTGATCTGTAACTTGCTTCAACAAGCTCGAACTCGCGAGCATCAATGCATACGGTGTCAATGCATTGTCTAGAATGTACTGGCATTGCGGAATATACTCGGAATTCATCGAAAAACATTTCAAAGTATTCTCAGCATGAGCTCTTTCCGCTGAGTCTTGTGAATTGTATAGCCTCTCACATAATGCCTCCAATTGTTGCAAACTTTCCATGATTTTGCACTCAAATCCAACTCCTTTCACAAACAATCAACACCAACTTAATCTCCAAACATTCAAAATCATAACTTTAATCAAATTAAATCAAACTTCATCATGAAAATACCCTAATTACTCCTTATTTACTTACTATGCTAAAATAAAATCCACAAAGTATAGACTAAAATTTCAAAAAAAAAAAATTTAATAAGTGAAATAAATCATCGAAAAGCGTGAAGATCGATCGATTACCTTGCAACAAACAGGTATTGGAATTGAAAGTTGAGATCAACGAGTCAAATCGATTGATTGAGTGAATCAGTTTATCTGTGTTTTAGGGATGAAATAAGAGAAAGGAAAATTTACGTAAAGAGATTGCTGACATTGTTAAAAATGAAAGGGAAAGGGAAAAAGATTGAAGTAGCAGAATCCAAATTTGTGCATCGCTTATAGGGTACGGGTTTAATTTAGAAATGTTTTTGTCCGGTTTTTTTTTTCATTGTTTTCTATTTTCTATTTTCATTTTCGAGTAACATTTCAATTTTTGTTTCTCTCTTGTATCAAGCAACTTCTTTTTCGAATTTTAAATAATAGTGTTCAGACATTTATGCCGTAAAAATATTTATTTACATATTTTCTTTTATTAATGCTAATTTGATTACATAAGGTTAAATTGAAAGAGTTCTCGAACATGACTAAATATACTTCCTCCGTTAACTATTGCAACAAAGGAGTATTAGTTGTGAGACATAAAATATACGAAGTATATGACATGAATAAAATAAAATTACATTTTTACGAATTATATGTCTCCACTACGTCCTCGATTTCTCGATTGATGCATCATTAAGAGTTACGCAAACCAATAAAAAAAAGACAGAAAGTGGAATAATAAATGTAATTGACCATGTATTAACCTTCAACCATAGCATCTAAAGTAAAATTAAGTTAGTTCTCACTTAAGATGCATGCAATATAATAATTTTGTATACAATTTTATTAAAAAAAAGAAGGATGCAATAATTATGAACCATTAAAAAAATTAAAAATAAAAAAGAGATGCATCAATTAAGAACGGGAGGAAGTATTAAAAAAAATTAATAAATAAATAAATAAATTAAATAAAATAAAATAAACCGAGTGAATTAGGTTCATAGATTTCACTTAACAATTAGGCAATTATACCCCTTCTTAATATACGAAGTATAAAATAAAATTATTTTTTTTGTAAAATAAATCTTAATAAATTAATTTCTCTTATGACAGCTATTTACAAAACCTACTAATACTATCAGACTATCAATGTTTTAAGTTAAACAACAATAAAACAAATTAAAGACACACATGATCATCATACGTGGACGATATTTTGGGAATTTGTTCAATCACCATCACAAAGAATGGAAGGAATTTATTGCAATTTTAACAATATTGTGGGAATTCATTCTTGAAAATTAGGTGAATAAAACTTATCATTGACATTTACTTTAGAATCCTCAAGTATCGTGCACCACTTCCAAACTTGTACTCTATATAGTAAGAATCTATATCTATATTTTTTATATACTAAAGTAATCAACAGAGTTATCCCAAAAGTACACGTGTCGCGTCCACATTAAAACTTTTCCCGCCAAAAACTTTTTTGACTTTTTTTTCCTAATAAAATATTACGATAATTTTTCTTATAAATAAATCTACAACCTAAACCACCCTAAGAAAATAGAACAATAATAACTACTTTAAATAGATATTTTTTTTTGTTACTTTATAAATAAATAATAAAGGTGAAATAACTGATTAAAAAAGATTAAAAACAACGAACAACGTATAGTCGTAGTAAATTATTGATTTTTTACCCTTTAAATTTCTAAATCAATTCAACTGAAATTTATTGCTCCAAAAGAAAACTACCAAACTAAAAAACTTTATTAATATATGAAGATTAGAAAATATTCTATACTTCCTTGAATCTCCATTCTTTAATCTATAAAATGAAATGTCATTTTCTACTAAAAAAAAAAGGGATTTCAAGTAAATTTTATATTCATAATTTGTCAGCAAACTACAAAAATAGAGATACTCTGTATTAACATGTCATCTATAATAATTTGATAATGTAAATAGATAATTAAATGTATACAACACCTGTGAACAAATACAAACTTAGAGTAATTTACGAAGTATAAATATATTTTATAGAACTAGTTATATACTAGACTAATCACCAGAGTTATCCCAAAAATATACGTGTCACATCCATAACAAAAAAAATTCTGCTAAAAACCTTTTGTATTTTCTTAAAGAATAACATAGTTAATGAATATAAACTTACAGTAATTTATAAAAAAAAAATATTTTACATTATACATCTAACACAAGAGTTTTAAGGGTAGACATTAAATAAATTTAAATTTTAAAAAAAATGTTATACTTCCTCCGTCCCATAATACATGAGACATTGGACTTTTTTTCACTATTCATGCATTAGGTTTGACCATAATTTTTTACTAGCATAATAAAAATATATTTTCTCATAAAATATGTTGTTAGATAGGTTTTAATATAAAGTTTCATAATATAATTTTTAAAATAATTTTCATTAATATCTAACTATATAAAAATAAAGTCAAACTAGTGCATTGACATGTGTGTCATGTATGACTGTGTCATGTATTATGGGATAGAGGGAGTATAAGCCATTTCATTTTAATGGACTATTATTGTTTACAAGTCTAATTAATATGAATTCGTGCATTGCACAAGGTAAAAACTACTCCCTCTGTCCCTTATTTACATGCCTATTTCTCTTTATTATGTGAGTAATAAATGTTAGAAATAGGCATGTTAATAAGGAACGGAGGGAGTAATATATTAAAAAATGAGTTAACTTTTTCATAAAATCAAAAACATTTTATTAAGGCTTTGATTTTATGAAAGTTGTGAAAATAATGCCTAACCCAATTAATCCCTTCATTCAATTATTGGGTCAATCTTATTTCCTAAACCAAAGCTATTTGATCATATAATCTGTCTATTAAAACATTTTTTTGATAAGAAAACAACATATCTTAATTCTCTATTAACGTTTTGTCGGTAAGAACATAAGAAGTAAAAACATCTAGGAGCCTTCCTCCATCCAAACCATAACCTCCTCGAATAGGTTGCAGATTTGGCCATGAAATGTGCCACATTATTGCATGATCCCTTAACAAAACAAGCAATAAAAAAATTAAATAATTTTACAAGGGCAATAATATCATTCACCATCACTTGTACCATTGTTTTTCATTAGCTCTTAACTGGAGGGGGATGCCCCAGTTTCTCATAGTGAGAAACAAAATTTGTTCCTCACATGGCATTTTCGTAAACAAACCAACAACTTTATTCAACTTTATTCAATTGTGAGCCCACAATAATGAAAAAGTTGTTGATTTATTCACCAAAATGCCCCCATGAGAAACAAAGTTCGTTTCTCAAAATGAGAAACAGAGAATTTCCTTAACTGGAGTAGAACAATAGGGCTAAGAGCCTAAGATAATCAATGTCCTCTCCAAGAGAACATAAACTAGCATCATACGCAAATCTCATCAAACTAAAGAGGATTAATGTAGTGTTTGCTACTTTGCTTTACTACCCATCCATGGTACTTTCAGATCTCATCCAACCGTCATAAGAACATTGTCAATTTGCTTGGTTTGCTTAATTCTGAATCCACCCCCTGCTACCACCTACAACCACAACTGTGTTGAGCTTTAAACTACCAGCAGAGGTGGCCGCTACACTTGAGGTTTGATTCCACTTGTCGCCCTTACAGAGTTTCCTCACACTTCGCAACTTTATCGTACTCACTCAGGTAGCTCATTTTTACGGCATTGACTTGTTTGGGTCTAATCTCTTTCTTTCAAACACCTAAGAGTTAAAAGTGTTCTTGATTTATTGCCAAAAAAATAGCATAACAATCTCGATCAATAACACATGACTTTGTAAAAAACTCACACCATTTTGTTATACCTTAGACCACTCTTTCACTTTCAATCTTACAAGATGCCATAGAATTGAATTTGAAAGTCTTTGCATAAAAGAGCTATATGAATAGTAGATTTCAGATTATCACTACATCTCAGGCACAATTGATTGACTATATAAAACCCCATTTTTTGTTAGGTTTTCCATAGTGGTAAGACCTTTTCTAATATAATTGCCATTATTAATGCAATATTTCATCTCTTCCTTTGGAGTTCTTGATGGATGGTAGGCGCTCCACACCATGATTTCTCTATTCTTTTTTTTTTTTGTAAATTTACAAGCCAACATGTCAATTTGTTCACTCTTCGCAACTGAAACACGTTTAATTGTTTTAATTTCCATCTCATTGAGATGCTCATGCAAACCGTAAAGGTTCCATTCGTCCCCCTAGCTAGCTTGCCTTTCCAATCAAACAAAAAACTATTTTCTATCTCCTCCATGGCGTCCACCTACTAGATTTTGCATATAGGATTCCTTCCAAAAACAGATATGACATCACTTATTTCTTATAATATATTTTGAACCCGGCTCTTTTCCACCAAGTCCCTTATAGCTAGACATAATAGACCTCGAGGTATTTATAAGGTTAAGTGGAATTTTTGCGCTCTAGATATTCGTTTGAGTCGGGGAAATACTTTCCTTTTAGGACATGCTTGGATTGAGGAAGATGTATTAATAGGGTAATAAAAGTCAAATTAAGCAAAATGAAAGTGAATATAGGAAAGGAGGAGATAGTGATGGTATGATTGTAAGGAAAATTATGTAGTGATGGTGTGGTATGAGGTGAAGAAAGAGGAAGTAATACCCTCATTTTTTAGAGTAATTGTTACACTAGTGGGAGGGTGGGTAATAACTATTACCTTCATTATTAGTGGGAGGATAATAATTCCTCCATATCTCTCTTTTCCTCATGGCACAACTATCTTATTTCATTTATAAACACCTTGTCTCCTACAACAACACTTCTAATTACTTATGTTTTTTCAAGTTTGAATTTTATTACCCCCTTAATATACTACCCCCAATCCAAACTGTAGGGTTTCGTAGTGACCCGACACTACGCGGAAGAAAACCCACCAAGACCCGCCCCTTAATTAAAGCAATTAACAAGCATAAATAAATTAATCATACAAGATTAAGAACGAGAATTATACCTTTGTCGCGTGCTTCGCTCCCAAAGAGCTCTTACTTCAAAATCCCGAAACCACGAGATCTCCGACGGATCGTACCCTCGACCCGACCCGAGCGTCCTAAGTCTCGAAGGTTAGTCGAGACCCGGACAAAATAACTATGAGTTTTACGAATCAAAGGTTTACTCTTTCTTAGAGTTGCCTTTTTAATTCCACTCAAGGTTGTTCATTTCCCAATACCCAAGCATGGTATTTATAGGGAATTGAACCCTTGGATTTTCATCCTCCACCAATGTGGGAGAATGAATAAATTGTCAATTAATTTATTTCTAAAATAAATCAATAATAAAATACAATCACAATGCAACAAGTGTCAAGGGGAGAGAGAGAATTAGGTGAGGACCATGAAGGGGTGGGGGGACCATTACCTTGCTCCCCAAGGCTTTCCCAAAGCCTTGGTCCCCACCTTCATTAAAACCGCCTCACCATGCTGCTGGGCTGGCAGCCAGGTGGCACTGCCAGCATGCCCAGCCAGCTAGCACCAGCCCACCAGCAGCCTTCGCATCCCAGCT